AGGAAAGTATATAATAAACAGGAATACATCACAGAAGAAGCTTTGAAGCTACTATAGAAAGAAGAAAACTTTACAAAACCCACATGAAGAAAGTGAGAAATGCGATCAGAGAAGACAGGAAACAATTTGTAATCAAGACATGCAACAAATTAGAGCATCTCCAGCAAAAAGGAAGGGATAGAGAAATTTTCAAAGAGATCAGAACGTTAACAACAAAGTTCAAGCCTTCATGAATGTAATAAACAATAAAAATGGCAAAGCATTAACAGAGAGCAAAGACATACTTGAAAGATGGAAGGAGTATTGTGGAGAAATCTGCAAAGATTCGAAAAACATGCCAGATAGTGCCGAAGAAATCGAAGAAAAAGAGCCTGAACCTTTACTAGAGAAAGTAAGAATATCAATAAAGAACATGAAGTCAGGCAAATCTCCGGGATGAAACGAGATACCAGCAGAGTTAATTCAGGCTGGAGGAGAAGCTATGCATGTGTGAAAATCTGGAACAGTGCTAACTGGCCCAAACAGTTGAAAAGATCAGTATATATTCCCCTCCCAAAATAAGGGAAGCTCAAATTGTGTAACAATTATCGTACTATAGCTCTAATTAGGCATAGGTCGACCACCGCGAAGATGGATATAAGACATTGAAGATGCATTGGCATTGAAAGCGCACGGGGCCGGAAAGCTGGCTAGGGAAAGGGATACGCTCAGGCTTGCCGTGAAGAGAGCGACGTTCTGTAAAGGACTTGCTGATTGATAAACTTTACTTATGTATTGCTTGGGTTTTTTGTTCAGCTTAGCTTGGGTTTTGATAAAATCCTAACGGCAGCCCTGATTCTAGCAGCCGACAGCAGCAACAGATGCAATCTTGACACGCCACCACGTCATACAGGCAAGAATAACAGAAGAATAAATAGCCTGTGACTGAATGAAACGTTAAGTCTTATTAATAAATGAATTTATCAACCGAGTGTTGACGGCGGTATACATAGTAAATTATTAATTTAAACTTGTATATTGAATTTGGGCTCTCCTTTAAATACCGATCGTTAGCTGGAAAGCCGACGGTCGCTTAGTGGGAAAAGGAGAGCCTGAATTTGTTTCAACTTGACGTGGTTCAGACCAAGTTTATTCTTTTAACACAGCTTCCAACTAATTCCTTCTTTTTCTTCTGCGTTCGACATCAGTTATGCTAGACATTGAGTCCCGTCTGGGTCACAAATAGGATTGTGCGTTTAAGGTCGCCACCGGTCCCCCATAGCTTCTCTTGCAATGTGGCTCCCTTGGGCCAGATCCACAGTCTTTGCTGGGAGAGGTTAGGGCAGTACTGCAGTATGTGCTCAGGGGTCTGTCTTTCTGCTCCACAATCACAGGCTTCAGATTCTTTTATGCAACTATTCTTTAAACAATCAGAGTGAGTTTGATTCTGAGTATGCCTACAATAGAGTCAAATATGATATTTTGATTTCTGCACTCATGAGAAGGGGGTTTGTCGATGGTTTGTGAACTGGATAGCAACCTACCTGCATCCATGTATGGTTGCCGTTCGCCTGGGTACGTGGACGTCAGAACCATGTAATACTAATATCGCCCTGGGACTACCCCAGAGTTCTGCAATTTCACCAGTGCCCACTCTTTTCTTTAACCCTCTAGAGACGGAGCGTTTTTGGAGTTTCAGTGCCAAAAAGATGGAGCATTCAGAAGGGGATTCCCCTGTGTGGGTTCCGGGGCCCCATTGTGGGGAAAACAAGAATAGACCCACTGCCTCCCCAAAAGCATGTTGTAAGAGTCAACTAATTGGGGAGCTTCCTTTGAAGACGGAGTGCGTCTGCCGGAGAGGCAAGGAACCAATAGTCTGTATTCAAGAGAATGAGATCTGTAAAACTGATGCACACGCAACACTCAGGTTCTGGAGCAGGACTGCAGTTCAGTAGTAGACGAGCAACCAGAACCTTCCGCCAGAGTTTACAGCTGGTGAACGCGAAGAAGAAGAAGAAGAAGAAGGGGATTCTCATAGTTTATACCCAAAGAATGATAAAAAATAAAGCGTTTAATTAACATATACAAAACTTTATATATTCGTATAGAAAATTGAATGAGCTAAGAGAATATTTGTGAATCAAATTGAAATCTCAAAATTTATTCAAATTAACTATTCTGATTTGCCTAATTTATGGAAGCATTTTTTTTTAAACTTGGGAACAAATATGACTAACCTAAAAAAAATGGGCGAACTTTTTGTGAATGAAGCTTGAATAAGTCCTAAAACTTGTGTTTTTGAGGCTCTTCAGACACTTGTGGCACATGGTTCTACTCATTTTCCTGCCTCCAGCTTTGTTTCTGTTGCTATGATGCAACAGTACTTTTCGCTATTGTTGGGCACAGGTAACGCCAGACAAAAATTGATGTAAAATTACCTAACACATCAAACTTTCTTGAAAGCCATCAGTGAACAGCCCACATGTGCAAGAAATGCAAGAAGCGATCTGATTGGCTGGTAGAAAACCTGCCAGCCAATCTGAAGGCTTCATTACATAGGGCCGACCGATCGGCACAGTCGTCCTTTTGGCTACTTTGTGTTGGGCTGATATTTCGGCCACCTAATCTCTAAAGGGTTAGGAAAACATTGGTTGAAACTGGTTTACCACTAAGCTGAGATCTCTTCATTTTTTGGCCAAGCGCATTTTAGCAAACCCTTAAATTTTACATGTCTGTCACTGATAAGTGAGTCTGCTGGGACCCTGGAGTTAGGGTGACCATAGGTCCCGTTTTCACCCAGGACAGTCCCATTTTTTGGGGGTGTGTCCCGCCATCCTGTCAGTACACAATTTTTCTTTTTTTAAAGCCAAGTATTCCATTTAATTAAAATCTAGAATAAGAATGAGAATGTAACATAACCTACAGTAGTTTAAGAAGTTAAATGGGACAGTATGCAAGCATACAAACTGAAAAGGATAATATATAGATCTATACACTACATGAGTGGAAACAATAAAATCACCGGCTGTAAACTGCAGCAGAAAGTTCTCGTTGTTCGTCATGGTTTCATGCACATCCTTTCCACATATCTGATTCATTTGTTCGTTCCTTGCCTCTCAGGTGGATGCACTCAGACTCCGAAGAAAGCTCATATTCCGTTGACTCTTACGACATGCTTTTGGGTAAGCTGTGCGTCTGTTCTTGTATTCCACGGACTCAAGAGGAAGTCCTCCTTTTTCAGAACAGGGGTCCGCCATGATGAAGTGGTCAGTGGTCAAGTCATTTGCCTACCCTTCTGAAGGTTGTGGGCTCATGTCACAGATGCATCATTCAGTTAACGAGTACAAGTTTTACAGAGATCCCTGAAAATTGTTGCTGGAGCTGTGGAGTTTGTGCTGTGCTCGTGGCAAGTGGCTAGCCATTCTGCAGAGAGATACAGAGCTATATGGGATAAACCAGTACTTTGAAGTTTGTCCTCTTGACTTTAAATTTTATCTAAACTAGGACCCCGCGGGTGTTCCGGGACCCAATTGTGGGGAAAACAAGAATAAACCTACTGCCTCCTCAACAAGTATTTCGTTGGAGTCAACTAACTGGAGGCTTCCTTTGAAGTCAGAGGGCATCTGCACGAGTGGCAAGGAACAGTAAAATGCACACAAATAAGCTAGTGAAATGCAAAACTCAGGCTCTGGCGCAAAGCCAAATTGACGAACAACCAGGGCTTTCCAACAGAGCTTACAGCCGGTGAACAAAAAGAAGATTTAAACTAGGGACAGACATGATCTATCTGAATGGTCTGGAGATAGTTTTCCTAATTCCTTAACTTTTTCTGCAGCAGATATTGTCCCATGTGTAATTTGAGAGAAAAGATGCGGGACAGTGTGACATCATGGCATGGAGTATCATCTGTGTCAGAGTTGATTGAAAGTACTCAAGGCAGAAGGTTTAGGATAGACATGACTACCAACACCACACGGCATGGACTATGGAAGATCATCTGTGTCAGAGTTGATTGAAAGTACTCAAGGCAGAAGGTTTAGGATAGACATGACTACCAACACCACACGGCATGGACTATGGAAGATCATCTGTGTCAGAGATGATTGAAAGTACTCAAGGCAGAAGGTTTAGGATAGACATGACTACCAACACCACACGGCATGGACTATGGAAGATCATCTGTGTCAGAGTTGATTGAAAGTACTCAAGACAGAAGGTTTAGTATAGACATGACTACCAACACCACACGGCATGGACTGTGGAAGATCATCTGTGTCAAAGTTGATTAAAAGTACTCCAGACAGAAGGTTTAGTATAGACATGACTACCAATGCCACACGGCATGAACTTTGGAAGATCATCTGTGTCAGAGTTGATTAAAAGTACTGAGACAGAAGGTTTAGTATAGACATGACTACCAGTGCCACACGGCATGAACTTTGGAAGATCATTTGTGTCAGAGTTGATTAAAAGTACTGAGACAGAAGGTTTAGTATAGACATGACTACCAGTGCCACACGGCATGGAATTTGGAAGATCATCTGTGTCAGAGTTGATTAAAAGTACTCGAGACAGAAGGTTTAGGATAGACATAACTACCAACGCCACACGGCATGGACTATGGAAGATCATTTGTGTCAGAGTTGATTAAAAGTACTGAGACAGAAGGTTTAGTATAGACATGACTACCAGTGCCACACGGCATGGACTATGGAAGATCATCTGTGTCAGAGTTGATTAAAAGTACTCGAGACAGAAGGTTTAGGATAGACATAACTACCAACACCACACGGCATGGACTGTGGAAGATCATCTGTGTCAGAGTTGATTAAAAGTACTGAGACAGAAGGTTTAGGATAGACATAACTACCAACGCCACATGGCATGGACTTTGAGAAAAAGAAAATACGTTTAAGCTTTCCACATTAAAATTATTGAGCTAATTTAACATCTGTCTAAAAGTTTCACTTTACCTCTGTAGATCCCAGGCCTGCCTGATAATGAGAAATAACCTTCTCAGGATGCAAAATCTAATTTTGAAATGGTCTAAATATATTGCTTTACTGGCAATAGCTACGTCCCTGATTGTGCACCAGACTGTTGATGCACAGGAGGAGGCAGGCTACAGCTCTAGCAGTATAAAAGATATAGACCTCAGTGCATGGCAGCAGTCCTACAATGAGAAGCAGAAGCTCCTAGTTTTATTCTGTAAGTCGTTACATCTGTTCGGCCATTTTCATTGTTATCTTTAATGTTACTTTCTAATAAAATCTGTCAGCCATTTATCCTGTAAGTTTTCACAGCATCTTTTTAGCTCTCAATGTTTTTCTTCCTCTTCTTCTTTTATTTTTCTGCCCTTTATCGCCCAGTTTATGCCAAATCGACCTTTTGCTATCACATGCAGCTGACTTTAGTATATCCTATCCATCTTTTTAACTTCATTCTGTAGCTACCTTCTCCGTGTGTGTGTGTGTGTGTGTGTGTGTGTGTGTGTGTGTGGGTCTGCCTTTATTTTTATGCCTGTGTGGGTTCCAGTGTAAAGAGTGAGTGAACAGTATGGAGGCACAAATAGATCATTTTCGTCTGAGGAGAATGGCACTGCAGGGAGTTAACAGGGAATCTGGTCAGCGCTAAAACTCAACACTCAAGGGAAAGGCGAGACGTATGTACAATCAGACAAGTACTGATACCATCAGAATTTGAATTATTCCTTTGCTGCTGGAGATGGTGACAGAGCACTTATGGGATTGTCTCGAGGGCTAGGATGTCCATTCTTAATTCCACATTCAATATTCTTCTCTTTAGGCATAGTTCACAGATTTTGTGTCGGTTTATCTTCACATGAGGTATTTATTGTTCACTGGGCACCTTTTAGGTACCTTCTCTTTAGGCATAGTTCACAGATTTTGTATCTGCCTTATCTTCATGTAAGGCATAGTTCACAGGCCACCTTGTATCTACCATATCTGCCTACCTTCACATGGGGTATGATTCACAGGCCACTTTATACCTTATGTTCACAAGAAGTATGATTCACAGGGCACTTTTTATCTACCTTATATTCACAAGAAGTATGATTCACAGGGCACTTTTTATTTATCTTTTCTTCAAATCGAGCATAGCTCACAGGATTTGTATCTACCTAATCTTTACCTGTTGCATAATTTACAAGGCATGTAATCTTATCTTATCTTCACATTTGGACCTGATTTACGCATTCACTATTTTTGTTGTCGACAGTAACACCCTTTGTACACCACATCCATGTCAGTCATCTACTTGACTTTCCAACAATGAACCAAAGGATCAGGATGTGGAGGGCTCGGGCATACCTCAAAATATGTGCTGATAAGAAACACCCACTGCATCAAGCGCTTTTTAGTGAAAAGGGCGACAGACTGAAGAGGGGAAAATCGTGGCTAGGTCGGGCAGAAGATGTTATTAGGCAAATATGCAGCCTAACCGACATCATACCTGGTGCAGAATGGATACCTGTGCCTCAGGCGTTTATTTGTACATTTTCCTGTATTGTCACACTCAACAGGCGATGTAGAGAAGAGAATCCTGTTGCTGTTAATGCAGAGGTCAACGCTCTCATCAGTGAAAATTCAGACGAAGCAGATGCACTAATCTATACAGACGGATCCGTTATACGCCAAAGAAGAAGCGCATGGGCATTTACAGCACGCTCAGCGGGCAGAACAGTCAAAGAAGCCAACGGTGCCTTCTCCATGACAACCAGCAGCATGACGATGGAGGTGATGGCAGTGACGCAAGCGTTTGCCTGGCTTGAAACACAAAAATACACCCGCATATGTATACTCAGTGATTCAATGAGTATGATCCGGAGGGTTCAGGCAGGTTCAGTGCGAAGACAATGGCTTGAATCATTACAGAAGTCCACTGTGCGTGGAGTCACCTTTATTTTTGTTCCGGGACACGCAGGCGTCGATGGAAATGAAAGAGCTGACAGGTTGGCTGGATCTGCTATCACTACCGACGGTCGGCCTATGGATCATGCTGATATTATCAATGCCCTCAGAGAAATGGGAAGGATAGAGGACTTTGGTGGCAGTGAATCCACATCACTCGCCAGAATGGCAGACTTGGGAATTAAGATCGGCACAGCAAAAAACGAGACGCACACCGGACACGTCAGAAGACTTGTTAATCAACATAGAACTGGTACTATTAGCCATCAGACATTGGGGTTCATACTGAGGGGAGGATCTGAGCACCTATGGACATGTCCGGAGTGCAATGACGATAACCCAACTAACTAACTAACTAACTAACTAACTAACTAACTATCCATGTCAGTCATTTATGACAGTGGTTTCCAGTTAAGACCTGTAAAGTAAAGGGCCCTTTTCCACGCCTTTAGGCATATTGGGCATACAGGGCTAGGCCTGTATTTTGTAGACCAATCGGCACTCTGTGTGTAATGTGGGCAACATAATACCCGCTGGCTTACTTCCTAGGAATTTAACTGGTACCCATTTGAGGCTGGGTTGACCTGAAGCTGAGGTCATTTTGTTAAAGTCCATCTTTGTCGGGAGCTGAACCCACAACGTTTGGATCTGTGGGCAAGTGTCTAGCCGCTACACCATGGTGGCTTCTGTTAAGACATGTGGACCACTCCTAATTTTTAAGGTCTGGCTCAGACCATGCTTCTTAGTAGTCATGCTGAATAATTTACAGTATTATAAATATTTGAATCTCTCTCTCTGACACACACACACACACACAGACAGAAAGAGGGGGGGGGGGGGGGGGGGGGGGGAGAGAGGTCTGCACTATAAAACTGATGGTCCCTGTGTGGGTTCCGGGGCCCCCACTGTGGGGAAAACAAGAATAAACCCACTGTCTCCTCAATGAGCATATCGTAAGAGTCGACTGATTGGGGGCTTCCTTGGAGTGCAAGGAACCAATAGTCTACATACAAATAAGTCAGATCTGTAAAACAGATGTGCATGCAGCACTGAGGTTCTGGGAAAAGGCTAAAGTCCAGAGGTGGACGAACAACCAGAACTATTAGCCAGAGTTTACAGCTGGTGAACGTGAAAAAAAATAAGAAGAAAGTTTATGGTTTTGTGTGTGTGTGTGTAAATTATGTCACTGGTATTTAAATTTGTTCCGAGGACCACCAAATGGGAACGACTGATATATGGCATTAAATACAAAGTGAACCTTGCGCTATGCTTTCAGTGTACTGTAGTGGTTAGCAAGCGGCAGACAGGGATACAAGTGGTAGAATAACATCAAAAGATGGATAAACAGCATCTGAGAGTGTACAACCAGGGCAAAAGACTGAGCATGTTGGAAACCTATTGTAGCCAACCTTCATTGTGAAGATGGCACCTGATTGATTGATTGTCTTTTCACTATAATCTTAGATCAGCCGGACACATGTGATAGATGTGTTGTTGCTTTGAACACTATAACCCAGATTGTTGGACAACCAGAGATTCCTGCTGGTTAGTATTCCTTAGTGTGTTTTTCCTCTCTTTTCTTGTTATTTATAAATAATTTGTGATTTTTCAGTTATTCATCTAGAAGTCCCCATGTGGGATGCAATTTTTCGTTATTTGAAGCCCCACCCTGGCTTTTGCAGGGGGCCCTGAATATAGCCGGGCCATAAATATGGCCTGACAGCTGAAAGGGGTTTCTAGGACCTCTCCATGTGTGATCCTCCTCATCTGCATGGTGGCACTTTGTGTCACCAGATGTTTATCGCTCTGTGTGATGTCCTGGTGGGGTAAATTAAGAGCGAGAGCGAGATTTGCACGTCACAGTTATCCAGTACTGCAAGAAATATCCAAGTAGTCTGCTTTTCTGTGTAGACATTACTGGGTGGGGTGGAATAGACGAACTACACCCCTAACAAACATGTTGTAAAATTCTACTAATTTGGGGCATATCCTACAAAATCAGAGTGCATCTGCCTGAGAGATGAAGAACCAACAGTCTGCATACAAATAAGCAATAAATGGATTTGGGTGTAAAATTTAAGTTCTAGAACAAGAACCAAAGTCCAGAAATGGATGAACAGCCAGAAGATTCCGCCAGAGTTTACAGCCGGTGAATGCAAAGAAGAAGAACATTTCAAAGACGACAAGATGCAAGGGGGCAGGGGTTAACCCACTTTTGCTTGCTTGATCAGTAGTCATAGCATGATAAGGGTCACTTGCTTATTTTACTATATGGTTTCCTCCATTACTTACTTTAGTATAATTCAAACTAATTTGTCTTACTTTAATTTACTTTGCTTACTTTACACACACACATACACACACGTATATAACATAATAGTTCCACTGATATGTATAGGGTATATGTTGCCAGCTTTATATTTGTTATTATAATTAAAGGGATTGTATAGCAGAGTTATACCAGCAGTCTCTACTTCCCGGGGCGTATCCTGGATCCTAATTTAGCATGGGATAACGTGGGATTTGTTTGAATTGAAACCTATATAACACTTTGGTCAACATTGTAGAGAGCTCATGACTTTGATCAGCATTGTAGAGAGCTACATGACTTTGATCAGTATTGTAGAGAGCTACATGACTTTGATCAGCATTGTAGAGAGCTACATGACTTTGATCAGCACTGTAGAGAGCTACATGACTTTGATCAGTATTATAGAGAGCTCATGACTTTGATCAGCATTGTAGAGAGCTACATGACTTTGATCAGCACTGTAGAGAGCTACATGACTTTGATCAGTATTATAGAGAGCTCATGACTTTGATCAGCATTGTAGAGAGCTACATGACTTTGATCAGCACTGTAGAGAGCTACATGACTTTGATCAGTATTATAGAGAGCTCATGACTTTGATCAGCATTGTAGAGAGCTACATGACTTTGATCAGCACTGTAGAGAGCTACATGACTTTGATCAGCACTGTAGAGAGCTACATGACTTTGATCAGCATTGTAGAGAGCTCATGACTTTGATCAGTATTGTAGAGAGCTACATGACTTTGATCAGCATTGTAGAGAGCTACAAGACTTTGATCAGCATTGTAGAGAGCTACATGACTTTGATCAGTATTGTAGAGAGCTACAAGACTTTGATCAGTATTGTAGAGAGCTACATGACTTTGATCAGCATTGTAGAGAGCTACAAGACTTTGATCAGCATTGTAGAGAGCTACATGACTTTGATCAGCATTGTAGAGAGCTACCAAGACTTTGATCAGTATTGTAGAGAGCTACAAGACTTTGATCAGCATTGTAGAGAGCTACCAAGACTTTGATCAGTATTGTAGAGAGCTACATGACTTTGATCAGCACTGTAGAGAGCTACATGACTTTGATCAGCACTGTAGAGAGCTACATGACTTTGATCAGCCTTGTAGAGAGCTCATGACTTTGATCAGCACTGTAGAGAGCTACAAGACTTTGATCAGCACTGTAGAGAGCTACAAGACTTTGATCAGCATTGTAGAGAGCTCATGACTTTGATCAGCATTGTAGAGAGCTACATGACTTTGATCAGCATTGTAGAGAGCTACCATCACTCCTTATTTCTTTTTTTTATTTGTGGGAGAGAGAGGTTTTGTGTGTGGGGGGGGGGGGGGGGGGGAGTTTACAGTATTAGTCTTATTGTACTTATGAAATAAAGTCAAAGACACTTTTATACGCCTTCAGGTGTATTGGGCATATAGGGCTAGACATATTTTTTATTGACCAGTCAGCACTCCGCTGGTGATGTGGTCAACATCCCCGCCGGCCGCTTTTACTTCCCAGGACTTTACCTGGTACCCATTTGAGGCTGGCTCGGCCTGGGAGCCAAAGCCATTTAAAAAAACAAAACATAGTTCGGTTCAATCAGGACCTGAACCGAAGACCTTCAGATCCGCAGGCTAGTGTCCCTTTTTTTTACTTACACATTCTTTCAACAGATCTAGAAATCGTGAAGTCTTCAAACCCAGATCTTGTGTCTGCTCTCGGAGTCCGGCAGTTCCCCAGTCTTGTCTACTTGAGAGAACAGTCTTATGTAACTTATGATGGTGAGTTCATTGAGCGGATAATGCCTTCATAAAACTTGCACAGTTAATCTGTAGTCATCTTCTTTTACAGTGTCTCCCCAAAAATAAGACTGGATTTCATATTAATTTTTGCTCTAAAAATTTTACACTAGAGCTTATTTTCATGGTACATCTTTTTGTGTTTCAGATTAAAAAAAAATTGTTATTTATCCATATCAAAATTATTATTATTTTTTTTTCAAATACAGTCATGTCACCTTCTTCTGGAGTATCATCATAAATCTCTCCCCATGTGTGCTGCTATGTTCCATTGTGGGGAAAATCCACTGCCTCACCAACAGGCATGTCGTAAGAGTCAACTAATTGGGGGCTTCCTTTGAAGTCGGAGTGCATCTGATGGAGAGGCATATAGTTAAGTCAGATCTGTTAAATTGATGTGCACGCTACACTCAGGTTCTGGAACAGGGCAAAAGTCAAGAAGTGTTTACAGCAGGTGAATGCGAAGAAGAAGAAGAAAAAGATCATAACTCTCCCAATTCCGAACTCCGGCTGGAATTTTTTGTGACTATTTCCTGTAAAACCATTGGCTCCAGTCTCTCATGTCCAGCAGTAAAGCTTTCCTTACATGAAGATTTCTTGCCCTGAATTCTAGCTGAGGGTCTCGGCTAGGGCTTATATTAAAGGCATCCTGATGTATCATGCCAGAGTATGTGTTTGGAAAACCTGGTAGTTGTTCCTTTTGCAACCACAGTAGCTCAGTGGTCTTCTTCTTCTTTCTTTTGCGTTCACCAGCTGTAAACTCCAGCAGAAAGCTCTGGTTGTTCCTCCAGTCCGAGACTTTGGTTCTGGTCCAGAACTTGAAGTCTGAGTACACATCCATTTTACCTCTGGTTTATTTGTATGCAGACTGTTGGTTTCTGGCCTCTCAGGTAGATGCAATGGATTTTGAAGAGAACACAGCTAATTAGTTTACATTTATGATGTATTATAGGTGGTCAGTGGGTCTATTCTATCCCCTCCCTCCTCCATCTCCCACTAAAGTTAGTTCATTCAGCAAATAGTGTCTTTATAAACTTTCACTGTTTATTTACAGTCATTTTCTCTTAGTTGTTTCTCTTATAACTACAGTAATGTTCTTGAAACGCAGGCCTTACAAACTAGTGGATCAGTCACAGTTACAAGGATTTGGACATGTATGCAGAATAGGAGAGAGTCAGTCACCTTGGCAGGCCTGGGAGACCAAGAACCAGGAAGCCAAACCTCCTTAATGACCCACAGTTTGCTGAAAAGATTCGGCAGTCCGAAACCCAAGTTTAAGGTGCCTCCTTCGTGTCAAAGAACTGCATGGCTGTTGGGTGAACAGTCGTTAATGAAGGCAGTCAGGTCGTTGTAGGGGCGACGCTTGCTGGTAGATGTAATGTCCTAAGTCCCTTCCCCAGCTAATAGCGAGGGCACTGCTGGGGTACCGTTTATTAACCCTCACATAAGGCTTCAGGTCAAAATGGACACTAGGCATGGCCACTGTTTTGAGCCGTGGCAAATTTTTTTGTTTCTGCCAGACGGTGGCCATTGCATTTTTGCTCCATTTGTAGGCTGCAAAGATATAGTTTCGTTGCCCAGCTTCTGAGTTGAGTGCATGGCTTGACACTGTGAGCTGCGCATTTCATTTATAATGTTTTTTAACTGACCAACGTGGTGGTGTGAATTGTAGATTCAGAAAGTGGCACAATGCTGGTTGTCGCAATATTGGTGGGGCCAATGTGTGATTAAAATTGATCACGTGTGCAACTGCTGATCTGTTGGTGACTTCTGCTAGTCACTAGTGTACCATCCATGTTGAACTGCATTTCTAATGTCGGACTGTTTGTGTTAGCACTTCGGATGGCTACCGTATGCTTTTAATACGTGTGTATGCTAGTGCATATGCTGAAACAGCAGTCTGTCAATCTTTCCACTTGGGACTGTGATAAAAATTCTGAGTGTTTTTCGTTGGCACAGGAGCGGAGAAATTATATGGTGACCCGTTTGCTATGAAGATGAAACTAAGATTACCAGATTACCCATATTGCGACAACCGGCATCATGCCATTTTCAGAATCTACAATTAACACCACCACGTTGGTCACAGTCGAAAAACATTCCAAATGAAATCCATAGCTCACAGTGTCACGCCGTGCACTCAACTCAGAAGCTGGGCGACGAAACTAAATTGTAGCAATGTTTCCCCGTTGTAAATTTGAACAAAGAAGACACAAACAATAGATTGCACAATTTATTGCCTGGCAAATTTCGCTGTATCTCGTCAGGTGCATACTGCAGTAACAATTACATAAATGAAGAAAATAAGCCAATCCTTTATAACTGAAGTACAATTTAAACAATGATCAAACATGACTGCCTGTTTTTTACCAGGGCAGCCATAAAGACAGAACCATCTCTTTCTGAATACAGAGTTCCAGGGGCAGGTGACGAATTGTGGAAGCTTCGAGAAATCTTAGCGTTCTGCCATTGGTTGACTTATGAAGGAATTAAAATACTTTGTCTTTAGTCACCACGTGCCCAGATTTTAGAAGATGGAGTGCTATTGCAGCCAGTATTCTCATTTTGAATATTATTTTGCATGGCTTTTTCCACCCAAACTGAAATGTACTCAGCGACTCGTTTCTCCAGGCGTCCATCAGTTCTGCCCACATAAGCAGCTTCACAGCTACATTTAAATTGGAAGATACAATTTGATTTGGCGTACGTCGACACTGGTTGTTTCACCGAGGGCGTTGGCATCGGGGTAGTTTTAAACCTGATAATAGGCAGAGCAGCGTAGAAAGTTTGGCTGACAGCTGTTTTGAGCCGGTCTTTTATCCTTTCAACTGTATCCTTTCAGTCTACATATGAAGCAAAAATGCAACGGCCACCGTCTGGCAGAAACAGAAAATTTGCCACGGCTCCAAACAGTGGCCGTGCCTAGCGTCCATTTTGACCGAAAGAATGATACCTCAGTCCAGGGCTATTCAACTAAGTTTACTAAAGGGCCAAAATTTTGAAAATAGGTATCGCACGGACCAGTGGCCCGAGAACCAGTGTAAAAAGGTAGTTAATGCAATACAACTGGCAATAATCCGCAGGCCACTTCTTAGGCCCTCACAGGCCCAATTTGGCCCACGTATTGCCAGTCCATTAGCAAACACAAGGAAGAACATAATGAAGAAGACAGCAACAAACAAAATGAAAAAGGCGAAAGGACGGAAAACTGAGACTAAATTGATGAGTAAATGAAATGTCTCAGTTTTCTACAATATATCATTTTGATCCTGGCTCGAAATAATTTGTTGTTATTTTGTCACCAGGCAGCTACGATGTGGAAGATGTGCTGGAGTGGGTACAGCAGGCCACAAACCAGGTCACACGTCAGCTGGATGATTTATCTTTTGAGCATCTGACCCAGGCAGCCACGGGGGCAACAACTGGAGATTGGCTGGTGGCCTTGTGAGTGACTGACTGACTGATTGCCTGACTGGTTCACTGACTGATTGATGTTAACTGATGTGTTAGTTAACTGAATGATTCACTAACTGACAGATTCTCCTAACTGAATGATTCACTGACTGAATCTTTTACTGGCTGACTCATTCACTGACTGACTCATTCACTGACTGACTCATTCTCTGACTGACTCATTCACTGACTGACTGATTCACTAACTGACAGATTCACTGACTGACTGATTCACTGACTAATTCACTGACTGACTGATTCACCAGTTGACTGTTTTACTGACTAATTCCCCAGCTGATAGATTCACTGACTAATTTACAGACTGGCAGATCCACTGACCGACTGATTCAGTGACTAATTCACTGATTGAATCATTGCCTGACACATTCACTGACTGATGGATGATTCACTGACTTACTGATTCACTGATTTACTGATTCACTGACTTACAAATTCACTGACTACCAGCTCACTGACTGAATTACTGACTGGCTGACTAACTGTTTGACTATCCCTGGGAAGTTGTTTGCATATTGCTATTCCTGAGGCTCTGCATAATCATCATCATGTTGTACTTTGCCAAATGGTATATGTTTCTTGCCACAGATTCCCCGTTGTGAGCTAGTTCGATTGATAATATTACTCCATACTATTATCTTAGAGTAGCCGCCAAGGTGAAGTGGCTTGATGCTTGCCTACAGATCCAAAGGTCATGGGTTTAAATCAAAAGATATCGCAATTTAAAAAAAAACTGACATTAGCTCCTAGGTCCAGCTGGTCTTTGGTACCAGGTATAAGTCCTGGGAAGTAAAAGTGGCTGGCATGATGTGACCACATCACCCACCAAGTACTATTTGGTCTGTAAAATATAAGTCTAGCCCTATATGCCCAACATGCTGGAAGGCATAGACAAAAAATCTTGTTCTATCATCTTAGGTCATCAACATTTCTCTCTGGCTGTCTATCTCTTATACTGCCAGTTTTTCCGGTCACAGTTTTGAACACAGGAGGTCAAGGACACCCATGAAGGAAAATTTCTAGAGGTAGGAGAGCTGGCACTGGACTGAATGGGTTTTTAGCATACTGTGATGAGAAGATACAAAATGAAAAATATTTTAAGCAACCTTTCTTTGTCAGTTGAGACAAGAAAGAGAAAATTTATATAAATCCTATAGTGATGTACGGATGTAAATCATGGACAGTTAGTAAATTAGTGAAATCTTATTTGGAAGCTGTGGAGATGTGGTTTTAAAGACGAATGATGAGTATACCCTGGACAGATAAAAAAGGAGTAGTGAAAATTTCTTGCAAGAAACTGACTCACGAAGAGAACTGATTGCCCACATCAAAAAGACAATCTACATTCTTTGGTCATGTGATGAGAAGGTGAAAACTGGAGTACATCGTGACAGTAGGAAAGTTGGAGGGGAGGAGAGGCAGAGGGAGACAGAGAGAAAAGATGCTGGACAGTTTGACATTATGGCATGGAAGACCATCTGTGTCAGAGTTGACTCAAAGTACACAAGACAGAAGGTTGTGGATAGACATGACTACCAATGCCACACAGCATGGACTTTAAGAAGAAGGGAGGAGAAGAATGCTCTGTAAAGAACTTGTTACATAATGATGCTTATGATGTTATTTCAGGTTCTTTCCTTATATTCTACCCCCAAATGACGTCACAGGGCAGTCCAACATTTTAGAGGGTGGTAAGACTGGGTTTTCCAGCTTTCTGGTGCTTTTAACGACCCCAAAACATCTAGAACTGGCCCTAACTCCAACCCACCCACATCCTACACGAGAGTGCAGCCTAGGTCCCACGACTGCCTGCAGCCTATCTACCACCCCCTGAAATATTAGACTGTCCCGTGACCTGTGGATTTCCCCTGTTTGGGGTAGGATATTAAGAAAGAACCCATTTTCAAAACTATGGATAGACTTACATGGTGGGTATAAAATTAATACGGTCGCTCTAGGCCTCAAAAGTAACTTGAGTGGGGAGAACCCAACAGATGCGGACCGCATGAAAGGTCAGGAACCCTACAGGCCTAACCATATCACACAAAGAAAGAGAAAAAGAAACACAGCAAAGACTTATGACCACAAATATAATCAAAGTATACATAGAAGTTGGTTAAACCTGATCTGCGTTAATTTCCTCTTGAAAGAATGAATGAATAGGCTTAACCAAGCTTTGAGCTAAAAATCTTGAGATCAACTTGTGCGCTATTATTCTATTATTCAATTTATTATTCTTTTTCTTATCATAACTTAACAATAAAGCTTTGTTGAAGTGACGTTATGAAAGCCTATCATTGCTGATGATTTACTCTTTTTCAGTTACACAGATTCTTGCAGGAGTATTCTACCAGTGTTGGACACCTTGGGAGTGAGGTATGTTCTTTGTAAGCTGTAGGTGGCAATAGGATAGCACCACCACCATCATTATTACCACCACCATCATCATCATCATCTCCATCATCATCACCACCACCTTCATCATCATCACTGCCATCATAATTAATTTCATTATAAGTGAGAAATGAGTTTCATTATTATAAGTGAGGAATGAGTTTCATAATAAGTGAGGAATGAGTTTCATTATAAGTGAGGAATGAGTTTCATTATAAGTAGGGCTGTACCGAATAGTGATTTTTCACTATTCGGCCCAATACGAATAGCTGGACCAACTATTTGGCCGAATACGAATAGTGAATCATCATCATCAGGTGCTTTGCCGACTGGCATGGGCAATTATGCCTCGCCACAATCTGCTTACTCCTGCAGCATGTATTAGTTAGTGTGCTTACACACCTCCATGCCATGCAACAAGACTCAAGAATTTTCACTCCATCCATTTTCACTCCTTCCACAGATCTTTCCAGTGGTAGCCACATGTTCCATTTCCCCTCATCTTATAACATGGCCGAAAAATGATGACTGTCTCCTTCTGATGTCTGTGATAAAATGTCTTCAGGTTTCCGCCTCTATAAAAACCTATTGGTTGCTTTTTGTGTGGCTGTCCAAGGTATTTTAAGTATTTTTCTTTAAAACCATATCACTGAGGCCTTAAGAAATCGTTTGGCCTGCCTACCGATTGTCCAGGACTTACAGCTAAATGTTAAAACTGGATGTATGTAGCAAGCAAGAATTCTTTTTCTAACCTTTAATGGCAAAGATATTTTGCATAAGATGTTCTTCGTTTTATAAAATGCAGTTTTTGCCTGTCCTATTCTGTTTCTTTTTTCAGTAATGCATCTTCCATCTGATGTTGTCCATATGCCCAGATACTTAAATTTATGTACTTGTCCCAAAATAAAACCACTGATTTTTATTACACATTTAGGAATAATTATTTTCTTTGATACCACCATTACTACTGTCTTCCCACTATTCAGACTGAGGCCCATTCTTCCACTTTCGTTTATAAAATAGATCTAAAAAAAACCATCCCCAATGTCAAATGTACGCTGAAATTTTACTTCACAAAATGTAGTACAGAATAGTAAACATTTAAAAACATTTCATGTTTAGCATCCTTCAATCAGTCAGTCTGTCGTAACTAATGCCTCGGAATGAAAGTATTCCTAGTTTTATAACAAGTAACTAACCTTGTAAATTGTCACTGACAGCCTAATTAATCCATGAAAGCGGCATTAGATTTCAAAAAAAAAAAAAAAAAAATCGTCCCATGTTGTCAGCATTAAGGCAGCTTCTTGTCTCACTGAAGGTATTTCCAGCTGTACTAAACAGACGTTCACTTGGTACGCTCGTAGGTGGTGCACAAAGATAACGCTTGACAGTATGAACCAAGGTGGGAAATCTTAATATGTATATTTTCCACCAGTCCAGAAACGGGTGTAAGGTTACCACTATTCGTATTCGGCCCGACCCCAACTATTCGGCCAAATACTGAATAGTTATTAGGTCTACTATTCGGCCCTGAAGCGAATACGAAGAGAATATTCGGTACAGCCCTAATTATAAGTGAGGAATGAGTTTCATTATAAGTGACGAATGATTTTCATTATAAGATAAGTGAGGAGTGCATTTTACTATAAGAAAAGTGAGGAATGAGTTTAATTATAAGCGACGAATGAGTTTCATTAAAATTGAGGACTGAGTTGTATGCAAATAAGTGAAGAATGAGTTTCATTATAAGGAATGAGTTTCATTTTGAGGAATGAGTTTGATTATAAGTGAGGAATGAGTTTGATTATAAGATAAGTGAGGAAAGAGTATCATTATAAGATAAGTGAGGAATGAGTTTCATTATAGATAAGGAATGAGTTTCACTATAAGTGAGGAATGAGTTTCATTATAAGTGAGGAATGAGTTTCATTATAAGTGAGGAATGAGTTTCATTATAAGTGAGGAATGAGTTTCATTATAAGAAAAGTGAGGAATGAGTTTCATTATAAGTGAAGAATGAGTTTATTATAAATGAGGAATGAGTTACATTATAAGATAAGTGAGAAATGAGTTTTATTATAAGATGTGTGAGGAATGAGTTTCATTATAGGTGAGAAATGAGTTTCATTATAAGTGAGGAATGTTTCATTATAAATGAGGAATGAGTTTTATTATAAATGAGGAATGAGTTAAGTGAGAAATGAGTTTTATTATAAGATGTGTGAGGAGTGAGTTTTATTATAAGATATGTGAGGAGCGAGTTTCATTATAAGATAAGTGAGGAATGAGTTTCATTATTAGTGAGGAATGAGTTTTGTTATAAGATAAGTGAGGAATGAGTTTCATTATAAGATAAGTGAGGAATGAGTTTCATTATAAGGTAAGTGAGGAATGAGTTTCATTATAAGGTAAGTGAGGAATGAGTTTCATAATAAGGTAAGTGAGGAATGAGTGTCTTTATAAGGTGAGTGATAAATGAGTTTCATTATAAGATAAGTGAGGAATGAGTTTCATTATAAGATAAGTGAGGAATTAGTTTCATTATAAGATAAGTGAGGAATAAATTTCATTATAAAATGAGTGAGGAATGAGTTTCGTTATAAGATAAGTGAGGAATGAGTTTCATTATAAAATAATTGAGGAATGAGTTTCATTATAAAATAAGTGAGGAATGAGTTTCATTATAAAATAAGTGAGGGATGAGTTTTTGTGTGATCCTGATCGATCAGGATTTAGTTCTACTACAGTTAGCAGGGAATGAATTATAATTTATATAAAATTATTTTTGAAATCCTATTCATGTTAATGAAAATTTATTATTTTTCTGATCGTTAGAGTTCGTGGACGAATCAATGTAGCAAAGGTCAACATTGCTGAAAACCCTGGACTTGTAGAAAGATTCAAGATTGCTGGATGTCCAGAAGTTATTCTGTAAGCTTTTAAAATTAAATATGAATTTAAATATTAATTAAATTTAAACTTACTTTTACGTTAAAACTCCAGACTGTATGTTCACTGCGTATGTAATCCACTTAGAAGAGTCCATTCTTTTGCTCCAGTTTATGGTGTATAATCGTTAGAGAAATAAACAAATTCCAGTGGGTCAAGACATAAGGTCACCCTGTGGGTTCTGGGACCCCATTTTGTAGTTTAAAAAAATATGAGTTGTGAGAAAAACAAGAATAGACTAACTGCCTCCCCAGCAAGTATGTCGTAGGAGTCAACTAATTAGGGACTTCCTTCGAAGTCAGAGTGCGTGTGCCCGAGCCGCAAGGAACAACAAACTGCACACAAATAAGCCAGTACAATGGATGCACACTCAAAACTCAGGCCCTGACACGAAGCCTAAGTCCAAATAGATGAACAACCAGGACTTTCCACCGGAACTTACAGCCAGTGAATGACGAAGAAGAACATTTATATAAAACATTTACTGGAAACAAAAAGTATTAATCAGGATAGGAAAAGCATCAACAGCAACGAGAAGATTTAACAAAAAGAGTTTGGAGAACATAAAGCAGACATTTAATATAAAACTCTTGCGTAATGCCAGCATGTGACCTCAGTACTCTTCTGTATGCCAGTGAAGCTTTGCAAGCTTTCGCATGTGATGTCTGGTCAGAATATTTGGCATTAGATGGCAAGACAGGATCACAAACACTGAGGTATTGGGAAGACTGAGTGCCTGCTATATTACTACCCCCTACGAAACTGTTGAACACCATCTCTTTGAGTGCCCAAAACTCAGCGAGACTAGAAGAATGCTACTCCCTCTGAGACCAGACAAGTGGAACACCTTGTACGAAGGAAAATACCAGCTTGTGGAAACATGCTAATTCTACTACATGGCATTGGGCCAAAGGGCGAAAGCTCATGCACCGCAAGATCGATAACAACAACAACAACACTGGGAAGACTAGGTAGGTAGTTTGTCCCCTCTGTTGCAGCCTGTAGGATTAACATCTCAAAGATGAGAGTCTTACATGTGCAAATCCTGGAAGCCCGGTTCAATCACACAGCAGTTCTGATAAGGCCCAAAATGGTTACATAGTGACTTGAAGTGCGGCCAGGGCAGGGGTGTAATGTTAAAGCTTTCACCCTATTAGACTTTTGAAAAGTTATCTTTTTTCAAATTTCGTTTTTAAACAAAAATATATCCTTACGTTGGTGAAAATTAAAGCATAAAGAATAAATCGTTGCGGGTACATGAAACTAAAGGCACATCTTCTTCGGAAGTACATCTTTCGGTAGCCGCGTTAGCGCAGTCGATAAGAAGCTCGCTTTCAAATCCAGCTGCGACTCGCTACAGCCCACGGTCGGTGTTAGAAACCGGGTGGCTCCCGGGGTTCACCCAGCCTCTAGGAAATGGGTACCAGAGCGATACTCTGGGGTAAATGGAGGAACGTCGCTGTAGCTATAGAGTTACGTAGAATGGCGACACAGGCGGACAGTTCTTATCAGCTGTCCGTACTGGTGGCAGAGCATTTATGGATTATAACCGTGTGCAATGATGCTGGTTCACATCTCCCGACTTTACCGTTTACCTTTACATCTTCTTCTTCTTTTGTTCACTTTTAATGTCTGCAGTGTTTTCTCTGATGTTAACTTATCTGTTTCTCTTGGCCAGAAGTTTTGTCTTGATTCAAATAAATTGTTGGTGAAACTGAAGCAATAAGGAATAAACTGTCACTGGTACATGAAAATTGAGCCCTAAAAAAATAAATTGTTGGTCAAACTGAAGGTACAAAGAATAAATTGCTGCTGGTACATGAAACTGAAGGCCTAAAAAAGAATAAATTGCTGGTGAAACGGAAGGCACAAAGAATAAATAGTTGTCTAAAGAATTTGGACATGCCTAATTACCAAAGCATGAACTATAAGAAGAAAAAATATGTATGTGTAGTTATGTAATTGATTAACACATGTCTTATTAACATTTAAACGTTTTCCTTGTGTGTGCATGTGTGTTCCAGTTTTAAACAGAGCAAGATGTACAAGTGTACGTTGCCAAACCTGGATGTGGCCACACTGAAGTCCTTTGTGGATGGTTTCTACAAAAATATGCAAGCCCAAGTCATCCCATTACCCAAATCCCATTTGTGAGTTGTTTATGGTATCGACTTTATTATATAGAGTAATGCTGTAGTATCTAAAAGAAAATGAAAACAATGTCCACAGATAAAACTGGCTGTCACCCAAAAAAAACAAAAAATGATGAAGAAATTGAAAATGTCACAAACTTTGATTATCTAGGCTCTATAATAAACAACAATGGAGACTGTTCAACAGAAATTAAAAGGAGGATGGCCAAAGCAATGCAAAGATTGAACAGCCTTAAAAGTCTATGGTTAAGCACCAGCAGGGAGATAAAAATTAAAATTTTGAGAGCATGCATTTTTCATGTGGCTACATACGGATGTGAGTCGTGGACTATCTCTCAGTCCTTAAGAAAGAGAATAGGGGCTTTTGAGCTGAAATGCTATAGAAAGATTCTCAGAATATCTTGGACACAGAAGATGAGAAATATTGACATGTTAAAAGATCTGAAAATCAAGAACGATTGGCTAATAAACAGCATCCTTTCTCAAAAACTGAAATATTTTGGGCGGATTGGAAAAAAATTATAGCAGAAGGCATGGTACCAGGAAGGAGGGGCAGGGGCCGACCGACACGAAGTTAGGCACAGGATATAAGTGACTCCTTGAGTGTAAAAGTGCATGAGGCAGGAGAACTGGCGAGAGATTGAGTTTCTTTCAGGCACACTGTGATGAGAGCGACGTTCTGCAAAGGACCTGCTGCATGATGATGCTGTAGTATCATCCTTAAAAGAAAAGGTAGGTGGCACACATAAAATCAGAACATAGTTTTAACCGAAGCTATATTCAGCAGGGTTGAACGTGGTCGACTTAGACATTTAAAAAAAATATATAAACAACGAACGAGGAGAAACGGACCGAGAATCACCAGATAAGTGTTGAAATGGGAAATAAATAAATCAGTGAGACGAGGACATCTAAGAGAAACTCTGAAATGAATGTTGATGAAAAAGTCCAAAGGTGTTTCATTGGAATCCATCCATGATATCAGAAAGATTGCACTAGGTAAAATGGAATGGAGGTATCTTCTTCTTCTGTGCATTCACCGGCTGTAAACTGGCAGAAAGTTCTGGTTTTTCATCCACTTCTGGACTTTCGCCTTGTTCCAGAACCTGAGTTTATGTATGCACATCCATTTATAGACCTGGCTTATTTGTATGCAGACTGTTAGTCCTCGTCTCTCAGGCGGATGCATTCTGACTTCTTAGGAAACATTCCTAATTAGTCAATTCTTACGATGTGCTTGTTTAGGGGCTGTGGGTCTATTCTTTTTTTTTTAAAGTCGGAATGCATCTGCCTAAGAGGCAAGGAACCACAGGTCTGCATACAGATAACCCAGATCTGTGAAACTGATGTGCATGCAACACTGAAGTTCTGGAGCAAGACTAAGATCCAGAGGTAGATGAACACCCAGAACTTTCGGCCGGAGCTCACAGCTGGTGAATGCAAAGCAGAGAAAAATGAGCTTTCTGTCTTGGGCTCAGGCCTCTGGTCCGTGACGATTCCCAATTTCAAAAGCTTGGCCCCTGAGTAAACTTACTTGGAGAACCCTGTGTTGGATCTTGTAACTTGTTCGTTCCATTGCATTTTCCATCTTTGTTGTTAAAACAAAGCTCTTGCTTGCTACATACATCCACTTTTAACATTTGGCTGTGAATCCTGGGCAGGCCAATCAATTTCTTGAGACCTCAGAGATGTGGTTTTACAGAACAATGCTTAGAATACCTTGGACAGCCAAAAAGAGCAACCAAGAGGTGGGAGCCCGAAGACAACTTATCACAAACATCAGAAGGGGATAGTCATAATTTTTCCATGTTATGAGAAGAGGGAAAATATGTTGTGACCACTGGAAATATCTGTGAAAGGAGGGATAGAGGAAGACAACGAGAGAAGATCTTTGACAGTCTTGTTGCATGGCATGGAGGTGCGTCGGCACACGAACTTATACATGCTGCAAGAGATCGTATATTATGGAGAGGCATGATCGCTCACGCCAGTTGGCAAGGCACATGATGATGTTGTTAAAAGAGGTTCATAATTGCTACTGTGCCCAGTGATGATACGGCAGCAATCATGGTGTAGTTCCATTATTCGTCCACGCCAGTTTTATTTTTTTTTTCTAAATTTGTCCAATTTTTATTTTTAAAATTTATGTTTTGATTTTCGTCCCAAAAAGTCACTGTTCGTCCTTCCTCTGACGTGGCAGCGGCGTCCATGGCTTAGGCGTTGCGAGTCCGACTTGTAATCTAACATATCAGGATCGAAACCCACTGCTGGCTGCATGGATTTTTTATCATGGTGTGGGGCGTCGCAGGTCGACCCAGCCTAAAATGGGTACCAGGATGTCTGTCCTGGGGAAGTAAAGACAGCCAAGCGGCTAGATGCTCACCGTGGATCGGAAGTCCGTGGGTTCGCTCCCTGGCAGAGCCGGACTTTTTCAAAAAATGACCTTGGCTCCCAGGTCGACCCAGCCTTAAGTGGGTACTGGGTGCAGTCCCGGGAAAGAAAAGGCGGCCGGCGGGATGATGACCACACCACCCATCTTGTGCCGATTGGTCTATTCAAATAAAGGTCTAGCCCTCTATGCCCTATATGCCTAAAGGCGTGGAAAAGGGTCCTTTACTTTTACTTTTACTGACGTGGCTGACGAGTCATAAGAAAAGGAGAACAAAGGAATATAATGGGCCATTTCAAAGGCTGAAATTAGGGAATGGATGTTCATGTGGGCAAAAATACAGATTACCATTGAGAAATGGCACCCAAACATTGCTTTGGTTAATCAGTACCTCAATTCACTTGATGATGATGTTTTTTTAAACACCTTCGGAACATTTTTAAATACAGAAAGTAATTCTCTGTCACAGTGATAAATCAATAATAAGTATAGTTGTGGTTAATATGTAATTAAAATGTATTTGCAGTGATTTCTAAGATTAAATTTCGAGTTAAATTTTGTTGTTGTTAAAGAAAAGATAGACACAATTCGGAGCTGGGGATTAAACTGTGTTTAGTTAATTGCTAAGGAAAATACTTGTTTGATATTTATCGTCCCCTCAGGATCGGATTATTGACGATCATTGTTCCACTGAACTGTTATAACGTTTCATATTCAGCCCATAATGATAAATATGCTGAGGAATTTTTCTTTTCTTTCTACAGCGACCTTATCACAGAGAGTATTGCAGACTACATCAAGGTAATTGACATGATAAATGTTTCATAAGTAAACACTCTCCGCATGGGTTCTGGGGCCCCATTTCGGAGAAAACAAAAAGACCCACTGGTTTCAAAGTCGGAAAGCATCTGCCTGAGAAGCAAGAACACCAACAGTGTGCATACGAAAAAGCCAGATCTGTAAAACAGATGTGCATGCAACATTCAGGTTCTGGAAAATGGCTAAAGTCTGGTGGTGGATGAACAGAGAGGCATGGGAATCACATCCCATGGTAATACCAGTTAAGGTGAAGGTTGATGTCCCTCTTCAGAGCTCAGCAGGATTCCTCCTTGGCCTGCTTAATTGTCTTATAAAAACACCACACAAAAAGGCAGTACCAATATCTTTCAGGAAGAGATAAAATCAGGAATGAGGTCGTACGAGATAAAGTCGGCACAGAACCAATTCTAAATTACACACAAAGACAGCAAATCAAATGGTTTGCCCATTTAGAGAGAATACCTTCTGATGCTATACCATATGGGGCATATACCAAAAGAGGAGAAGGATGTAGAGCAAAAGGTAGACCAAGAAGAAGATGGGAAGATAACATCAGAACAGAGGAAGACCACGCAAGAAGATTTCTTGACAGAGTTTTGTTGTGACATGGAGTGGTGTCAACACACAAAGACATGCACACAGTTGGTTGTGGAGAGGCATGATTGCCCACACCAGTCGGCAAGGCACTTCATTAGGATGAGGGGTTGGATTTTCTGTCAAGGATGTTCGGATGTTTTTTCCATGCTTCTGGGTGTTGAGCTACTTTGTGATAAAGCAGAAGTGATGAAGGCTTTAACAAAAGCTATCAAATACAGAGGTACTGAGGAAATTGGGAATGAAAAGAGAGTTGCTAGGTGAAATAAAAAAGAGACAAGTGAAATATTTTGGCCACATCAAAAGACATAACAGTATTCTAAAGATCATCCTAGAGGGAAAGGTTCAAGGTAGGCGAGCAAGAGGCAGACAGCGTTGCAAGTGGGAGGATAACATCAAGAGATGGACGAACAGCAGTATGAGTGAGTGTACATCAAGGGCAAGAGACAGGGCTTGTTGGAGATCCATTGCAGCCAACCTTCATTGTGGAGACGCACCTGATTGATTGATTGATGAAGGCTTTCAAGGATCAGGTGGACAGTACAACAGACCAGACTGAGTTTCCACACATTGACTGACTAATTCAGCCGGAGATGAGCTGAGGTTCTAGAAGATGTTCAGGCTGAGGGGAAAAACATAGGCGGAGTTTTAATCTGGTCGCAGCTGGTACTGTTTGCGTATCGACTCTTTATTGGCTGCTGAGGAAGGAGACGGAGCATATATGGGAGTGTCCCGAGTGCAGAGGTGTCAATTCTTGATTGATTTGTTGATTGATTGATTGATTTATTCATTCATTTATGATGATGAGTGAAGGCAGTGTTCATTGTTCATTGTTCATTGTTCATTTAAAGATCATCTTTATCGCACATCGGACATGACCATAAGTGCTCCCGTCTCCTCTTGAGTATGTCTCCAAGTGTTTTCAGAATAACAACTCCCATTCTTCTTCTTCTTCTTCGCGTTCACCGGCTGTAAGCTCCAACGGAAAGTTCTGGTTGTTTATCCACTTCTGGACTCAAAACCTTTTCCAGAACTTGAGTGTTGCGTGTACATCCGTTTCACAGGTCTGACTTATTTGCATGCAGACTGTTAGTTCCTTGCCTCTCAGGCAGATGTACTCCACGTTCAAAGGAAGCTCCCAATAAGTCGACTAACGAAATGCTTTTGGGCAGGCAATGGGTCTATTCTTGTTTTTCCCACAACTGGGCCCCGGAACCCACATGGGGACAATTCCCGTTCAATGGCAGTGTATGCGCAGGATGTGTTTCGAGTTCTGGTGTGGGATGTAAAAAGGTGCTTTAAACAATACATAGTGATGCAATAGGACCAAGGCTCAGACTGGTCAAGACCTGCTTACACCTCTCCACGATCATCCACATTTCTCCCAGATTTACAGTACCTATCATTGAATCAAGGCCAAAGGGTTGCGATATCAATAGTACCGAGCCAAAGGGTTAAAAACTCATGGTTTCTGGATACTTAAAAAAAAAAATCATAAAAACAGCTTCCCAACTGGTAGCCCAGCCATCGTAAAGAGGTTCAGCGTTTGACAGCATTAAAAAGACTACAAGATCTTCAGATCAAAAGAAGTGCCACCAGACGTAAACACTACACAGGCAGCCAAAGAAGAATAGTAAGCCAACACAGAACCGGTGTCATCAGTTGCCACAGGCTGAGGGATACACAGGAGATAGGACCCGAGCGCTTATGGACTTGTCAGATGTGCAGTGAAGATAATCTGTCAATTGACTAACTAATTAACTAGGTTCAGCATTGGCTTTGAAATTGGAGAGCATCTGCCTGAGAGGCAAGGACCAGTAGTCTGCAAATAAATAAACCATATCTGTAAAATGGATGTATATGCAACACTCAAGTCCTGGAACACGGCCATGAGTTGATGAACAGCTGGCATGTTTCCCTGGAGTTTACACTGTAAAACTAAGAAGAAGAAGAGAAGAGTACTGATGTGGCTGAAAGTCACTTGTATTCATAGCATATTTTTTCTTTGTGATTGTTCAGGTTCAGTTGGAGGGTGAAAACAAGTCCATTGTTTTGGCAGGCGCATTTGCTGCAGCAGTGATCTTTTTGCTCATCATCTTCTGTTGCTGCCGCTCAGCGATTGGGGATACCAGCAAACAGAAGACAGAATAGCCAATAGTCGTGTCACTTGAATGTGTGAGTTTGAGAGTATGAAAACCGGAAATAATTGTCTGAATGATAGTTGAGTGTGGGGGGTCGAGGAAAAAAAAAGATTTCACAAATTATTTATTATTTAAAGAATTATTTTACTGGAACATGTATTTGGGTGTATTCAAGATGTCTGTTGCGGGGTGAATGTGTGTCTTGTTGGTTTATTATGTTAGTCACTTGTACCTGCTGACTTGAATTTATGTGCATCCTAGATTGTTGCAATGCTGTGCCAGGCTGTTCAGCCACTTTGCCTTTTTCTTCACATTTACCAGCTGTAAGCTCTGGCAGAAAGTTCCGGTTGTTTGTCCTCTCCTGGACTTTGGTCTTGATTCAGAGCTGGAGTTTTCCATGCACATCTGTTTAACTGATCTAGCTTATTTGTATGCAGACTGTTGGTTCATTGCCTGTCAGGCAGATGCACTCTGACTTTGAAGAAAACACCCCTAGTTAGTCACCTAGGTGGTCTGTCCCCCCCCCCCCCCCCCCCCCCCCCCCCCCCCCCCCCCCCCCCCCCCCCCCCCCCCACCAACCCTGTTTTTCCCTAATGGGGCCATAGAAGCAACACCTGAATAAATGTTAACTGAGTGAATGTGTTTGCTGTTGCTTTGATTTGTTGATCGGTTATAATTGCACATTTGAGTTTATGAGCATTCTAGATATTAACTAATTTGGTCACTCCTCTGAATAATGGCCCCAGATTATCTAGGTAAAAAACCTACCCTTAAAGGGCCTCAATAATTGCTTCCGTTTGAGTTGCATTCAAAACCCTTCACTTGTTTGGGTGCTAGGGTTAGCCCTAACCCTAACACTGCCACGAGAATCTGTCACAACAGTCCAACCACCAAACTAATGATATTGGACGCCTGCAACAAGAACATTCTACTGTTTCGTATTAATATGTGTGTAGCAAGCCATTACAACCACTAGAGTTTATTATTCATTAATATATATAAGTCGGCAGGTCTAACCTCTACAGCTGCCAGTTCATCAGTCAGTAGAACATTATTGCTGATCTGTGTCAGAGCTGATGGGCTGACTGCCATATTTACCGGAAATAAATCCATCCTAATTTTTCATATCATTGAGGCCCTGTAAGGGTACGATTTTGAGCTAGATAATTTGGGGCCGTTATTTGGCGGAGTGCCCAAATTTGTGTCAGGTCATTCAGTCCGTCTGTCATAAATGTTTGTCTTCATAACAGCGAATAAGTAAATAAGACAGTAATGAGTGGGTAAGGTGGATTGCAAATGTGGTAAGAATTGTGTTAAGTAAGAACCGGGGTCACCCAGGTAATGGGTACCAGAGTTAACACTCTGGGGTAAATGGAGGAACATCACTGTAGCTATGGAGTTGCGTGCGGACGGCGACACAGGCGGACAGTTTCTTATCAGCTGTCTGTACTGGTGGCAGAGCACTTAGGTTTATAGACGTGTGCAGTGACACTGGTTCACATCTCTCGACTTTATCTTTACCTTTTTACCTTTTTAAGATATGCTTAACTGTTAAAACAGTTGTTTAAGTGAAGCCTGATGAAACAGATCTGTGCCATCTCCGAGGTCAAGATTGGAGACAGTGTAATCAACTTCTCATGGAAGCTTCTTCGTGTTAACTGGCAGTAACATCTGATTGAAAGTTCTGGTTGTTTGTTCAGCTCTAGATTTTGGTTTTGATCCATAACCTTTGAATGTTGTGTGCACATCTGTTTTACAGATCTAGCTTATTTGTATGCAGATTGTTGGTTCCTTGCCGCTCAAGCAGATGCACTTGAAGGAAGCCCCCAATCTGTCGACCTTTACGGCATGCTTTTAAAAAGGTTGGTTCTTTGCTGCTCAGGCAGATGCACTCTGACTTTGAAGGAAGCTCCCAATTTGACGACCAATCCTGGACAATCGGTAGGCAGGCCAAACAATTTCTTGAGGCCTCGGAGATATGGTTTTACAGAAGAATGCTTAGAATACCTTGGACAGCCACACAAAAAGCACCCAATAGGTTTTGATAGAGGCGGGAACCTGAAGACATTTTATCACAGACATCAGAAGGAGACAGTCATCATTTTTCGGCCATGTTATGAGAAGAGGGAAAATATAACATATTGTGACCACTGGAAAGATCTGTGAAAGGAGAGGTAGAGGAAGACAACTAGAGAAGATGCTTGACAGTCTCGTTGCATAGCATGGAGGTGGGTCAGCACATGATACATGCTGCAAGAGATCGCAGATTATGGAGAGGCATGATCGCCCACGCCAGTCGGCAAGGCACCTGATGTTGATGATGATACGGCATGCGTTTGGCTAGGCAGTGTGTCTATTCTTGTTTTCCCCATATTTGGGTCCCAGAAGCCACTCGTGGAGACTCTCATGGGAGCAATCAGTATCTCTCAGTACCTTGGGATGGCTGCTGCAGGGAAGGACTCAGCATGCCTGGGCATGAGATCTAAATACAATGTAGTATAACATGCTTAACCGGCTCACTAGTATAGTTGGTTAAAGCTGACTTTGTGGCGACTGGTCGACAAACTCCTTGTGGTCCGGGTTCACGCCCAGGTGTAGGCAGAAAAGCCACATTTCTCCCAGATGTATGGTATCTATCATGGAATCATGGCCGAAGGGTTGCGATTACCATAGTTACGAGCCAAATGGTTAACAACTCATGGTTTCTGGATACTTGGGGAAAAAACTGTTGGACCTCAGTTATTTGGTTGTGTACCTGTAAAAGTGTTTGTTAGTCTGAATGTTTGGAGCCTTATTGTTCTTTATATTATGTTAATCTTTTCATCATTAAAGATTTGCTTTGTGACATGTTGCAGTTGCTAGATCTGTTTGCTTAATGGTTGTTTCTGCTTGTTTACAACAGCCTGAGATGTAATTTTAACTCACAGAGCAAGTTTTGGAACATAGATAGCCAAGAGAAACATGGGTGCAAGTCAAACTTTATGGGTCGCTGAGTGAATTACAAAGGACAGTGAAGTTCATACTGGTGACAACCTTGCAGATATAGGTACTTTATTTCAAGCGAACGGAAGAAGAAGAAGAAGAAGGAACATAGAAAATAGTGTTTTAAGTGGTGTGCATCACTTGATAAGACTCAAACAAGAAACTTTTGATGGTTTTTGTTGTTGTTGTCCAGAATGTTTGTACATCTTCTTCTTCTGCCTTTCTATAATACCCAGTGGAGCATAGGCCCTCACAACCAACTCAACCAAGTTGTTCTATCCTTTGCTATCGCTTGTAGCTCTTTGCATGCCCTCTGCATCTTGCTTCTTTTTAACTTCACTATCTCTCTTCTCCATGTGTATTTTGGTCTTCCTTTATTTCTGTGCCCCTGTGGGTTCCAGTGCAGAGTTATTCTAGTTATATTGTTCTACTGTTTTCTCAACAAGTGTCCTATCCAACGCCAGCGTCTTTTCTTCACCTCACGGTCCACTGGTACTTGATTAATTCACTCCCAAAGCTCAACATTAGGGATTCTCTCCTACCATTTAATTTCCCTTATTATGTGCAGGCACCTGTTAATGAATGTTTGTGTGAGTTATGAGTTGGATTATCTTCACATCACTCTGGACACATCCATATGTGCTCAGATTCACCTCTCAACATATTCATCAGCGTCACGCGGTTAATCGCGCCAGTCCTGTGCTGGTTGACAAGACTCTGTGTGCCTCCGGTGTGCTTCTCATGTGTCGATCTTTACTCCCAATTCTCATATGGTCAGGAGTGATGTGGACATGTTGCTTTAAAAATCCTCGGAACATCCTCTCTCTAAGAGCATTGACAATGTCTGCATGATCCATGGGCCAGCCATCTTCAAAAATGCGGCACCTGCCAGTCTATCAGCTTTTTCATTACCAACAAATCCGGCATACCCTTGGACAAATATGAAGGTAGCACACAGGAGAGTTTTACAAGGATCCAACCCACTGTATGCCTAACCAGACTGCCTCGAGTCGCCGGATCATGTTCAAAGAATCACTCAGCACACACACACACAGGAATAGTTCTGTGATCCTAGACACATGAAAGCTTGTGTCACAGCCATCACTTCCCTCGTCATGCTGTTGGTAGTCATGGAGAAGGCACTGCTGGCTTCTTGAACTGTTCTGCCTGAAGAGTGAGTTGTAAATACCCATGCACTTTAATGTCCTCCAATAACGGAGATTATGCGCTTTAGACTGGTATTCATTCCTCACCTGGATGGATATCTGTCTATTATCTGTCTTGTAAGTCTATTACCCTATTGTGGTGCTTCAGATCTGAGTTTATCTTGAGGTATACACAAGTGAAAAAAAGAACTTTAGGTTAAAACATTAACACTTTGATCAGTGAATTGCAAACTACTTTGCAAGGCACAAGTGAGTTGTCGGCACTAAATGGTTAAGCCTTTCGCCTAGCGTTCTGAAGGTCGTAGGTTGGTATCATGGACTGCATGGTGTGGTTAATAGAAGCAACTTTTTCTGGGATTCCTGAGGGTTGTCACCGAAGCTGCGGAGTTATGCTTGTGCGACGCTCTCTGCAGGAAGCTATTGATTCTGTGGAGAGTCCGGGCTATATCGGATAAAACCTGATGCAATGAAGTCGATCTTTCTGATTTTAAACCTTAAACACTGGACGTTTCTGCTGCCTTCACCTCTAAAAGGACGATTGGCACGTTGTTATTATTTACAGATAGGCTACGATTCTGAACCTTTATGCCCATAACATGCAATTTCAGTTAGAGCCCCGAGCCTATTTCTGTACGAGGTGGCGACAGCTTCAACTGGTCAGACGTATGGATATTTAAAAGAGAGGACCCAGTTAGGTGATTTTGTGTATTCTTATTTAAAACATTGTCTCTTCGTGTCACCTTCTGATGAAGGCTTTTTAGCCATAACGTTCACTTGTTGTTTGTGATTCTGATAATGTGAAGCAGATTAGTTCCACTTCTTTTTTTTGGGGGTGTGTGGATTCCTTTTATGGTATGAGCTACAGCTTTCTGTAGTGATACGTATAAGTAGCATAAGCTATAGACGGCCGTGGTATGAACCTACACGGGGGAAAAGTAAAGGCTCCTTCCTTTCCACGCCTACAGGCGAATAGGGCAAGACCTATATATTTATAGACCTGCCACACTTGGTGGGTGATGCAGCATCACTCAGGCCGTTTTTACTTCCCAGGACTGTACCTGGTACTCACCCAAGGCTGGGTCAACCTAGAAGCTAAGATCATTGTGGGAAAAAATTCCGCCTCCACCAGGACCCGAACTCACGACCTTCCGATCCGTCTATAAAGAGGCTCCCTATGCGGGAAAAATACCTACATTATTATACTCTTATTTAAAAAATGCGATACATTTTACGGACTTACTTCCGGAAATAGTCGACGAGACCCTAGCAGATTTTCCGGGTTTTTTATTTCTTAGTTTTATTGAATTTCTTTACAAACACAAAGGATTTTCAACTATGGTGGGTTTGTTTTGTCAAATTCTCTCATTTCATTTAATTTTACCGGGGGGAATATCATTCTGGGTTAAGTAAACTTGATAACAGAAATAGGAAACTTAGCAAAATCGAAGAATTGGGGAAAATATATGTAAAGCAACCAAATTTCGATAACTGAATTTTCAGACAGAGGCGAGGAGACAGTCACAGTGAAAAATGAATGATGAAAACAGCAGTGCATGACCAGGGCTCTTAACGAAGAGTAGAGCGAGTCGTGAACAAATGCAATGGAACTTTTCGACCAACAAAGTCATTTTTGACAGATAAAACAACAGGAATCTACACAACAAAGAAGCAGGAAATAACCAAGAGGAAAAAGGAAATGATGAACAGAGAGGAAAGGAAATAAATGCGAAAAATAAAATGATCAAAAAAAAGGCAGTGTACTGAGATCTGTTTGAGTGTTGGTGGTTGACAGTTGACTGTCTCAGTTTTAGAGTGATGCCAGGGACTATTTATTTGCTGTTTTATAACTGGCCATTGTAGTTGTTATTGAGCCTGGTCTGTTATTTTAATAATTGTATTATATTATTCCTGTCCTATTGTTTCCCGGCCAAAGGGCTGCTTCGTCCTGGTAGCAGTAGTACCAGTAGTAGTCCAGTCCAGTAGTATTTTACAAAATATATTGTTAAACCCAAGTTATAGTTATAGAGTTAGGATGTAGAGTTTGAAATAAAGAAATTAGGCTATCCTCCGAATAACGGGCACAAAAGATGGCGGCAAAAAATGGCCTCAGTCACGTGTCGATTGCGCACTTTCGGTGACCTAATTAGTGGTTTTCCGGCGCCCACCGCTGAGCGGCGTAGATTGGGGCTAAACTAGATGGCTAGGACTCAGAGCAAAGCTGCAGGGGATGCGGAAGCTGCTGCTCATGAGCCCCAGCCATCTAGTTTAGCCCCAATCCACGCTGCGTGGGGGATTTTCTCGGCGGTTCGGTAGTCGCCGGAAAACCGCAAATTAAGTCGCCGGAAGTGTGCAATTGACACGTGACTGAGGCTCTGTTAGGGTGTTTTTGTGGCCACCATCTTTTGTGCCCGTTATTCGGAGGATAGCCAGAAATTAATATTAGACATTTATTTTGTCAGTTACTTTTGGTTCTTTTTTGTTGCATAGATTAAAATAATGTTATGTATTACTGTTAGTTGTAACAAACTGCAGGAGTATACATTATACAAATTAATTATCCCTGCTGGGGTTCTGGAGCTCCATTTTGGAGAAACAAAGAATGAACCCACTGCCTAATCACGCAGGCGACAATGCATAAGCATTGCTGTCTTCTATTACAGTGAAATAAACCACTTCAAGTTGTAGCCTCCGTTTTTTGTTGTTGTTATTACAAGGGATGTTTAGTTCACTAGTTATTTGACATTTTCTAGCTTGAGCGTACTTTATATCTTTCTGTTAAGCTTTCATCCCACATCCTGCAAACCTGTTAGGATGCTCATTTTGTGGATTATGATTTAGAGAGCGCCATAGTTACCCGAGGGATCGGCGGTCCCTGAAATTTTTTGCATTTTCGTACAAGTCATAAAATCTATGTCACTCGATTCTGGCTGTTCAGTAACAAGCGCAAACACGTGCGATACCTTCAGCAAAGGTCCCACTACCGAACAGCACGTGTTTCAGAAAAAGACATTCGCTCAGTGAAAGGTATTTCATTATTTAGAATACGGTCATTAAATTTCTGAAGGCTTTCTAAAATCTCTATAGTGGTATTAATGAATTCTGAATTATGCATCCATTTTTACATACAGTTGTGAACTCTGAGTTAGAAATGTTGTTACCTTTTTTCTGAAATAAATTTTTTCTGGATCAAGTTTTGTAAAATAAATTGAATTATTATTCATTTCCTAGCACCTGCCAGCTCAGGAACAAAAATGAAAGTGATCTTTATCAATCTTTGCCACCTTAGGGATACTGTCTTTGTACTCAACCTGTCTCTGTCTTCCTGAGCATTTTCAGTTTAGGACTCAAAAAGTTAGGATAGTGAGGGCAAGATGTTGACTTTGGAACAACGGATCAACATCATGGCTCACGGGTAGTAGCCTTAAGTGCTCCGTTCTTTTTCTAACTCAAGTCTGAGTCCGAAAAAGTTCAGCATAGTGCACAGGCTCTGTAGTACCGGCAAGGATCCTGAAATACTTTTTGGGTAGATATTTAAATCTAAATTTTGCCTGGGGCAGCGCCGTTAGGCTACTATTTTCGATTTCCAACTGCCAATGGATTTTTTTACGTGCGTAACAATGCACACGGGCGTCAGATCTCACTACCCAGAGACCAGGGGGAATTACTAGATGTCCAAGTCCACATGAAAAAATCCAAGTCCTTACCGGGGGGATTGAACCCGGAACTACTTACACTCGAGGTGGACACCATGCCTTAAGACCACGCAGCCACCTAGTGAGGGGAAGGAAGAAGAAGGAGACCTGTAAAAATATTCTTAGTACCCTGTGTGGGTTCCGGGGCCCTATTATAGGAAAACGAGAATAGACCCACTGCCTACCGAAAAGCATGTCGTAAGAGCTGACTAATTGGGAGCTTCCTTAGAAGTCAGAGTGCATCTGCCTGAGAGGCAAGGAACCAACAGTCTGCATACAGATGAGTCAGATCTGTCAAATGGATGCACAGGCAACACTCAGCTTCTGGAACAGGACTGCAGTCCAGAAGTGGACAAACAGTCAGAACTTTCTGCTGGTGAACATGAAGAAGAAGATATTCTTAGTCAGTTAAGTCACATGCAAATACAGTTTTTTTTTTTTTTTTTTTACAAACAGGTTTTAAGCAGAAGTGAAGATAGATACAGCCAGTAATAGCTGTCTGCCCTGTACGAGTACAGGATTGGTCACTTGTCGAGATCACATCATAGCTTTAGCTCAGTTTGGTCCTATCAAGATGGCAGCCAATCTAGGACAAGCATTCTTAGGAGCAGCTGGGATGGTTCCCACTTTAGTTCAGGAGCTGGCCGCTGGCAACTTCCATGAAAACCGAGAGACTTTCCACGACTACATTTACTCCAAACTCATCCTTGGAGATGATAAAAGCAACGTTCCTGGCATCTCCAGTCCAAACCCGCCAGTTTTTCCAAACACCAACCTGGCCAGCAGCTATCCTAACCAGCTGCCGATAACCAACACTTTGTATGGTCCTGGATCCAGTGATAATAATCGTAATTCAATAGACAGTAGTGGTGGTGGTTCTAATGTCAGCGGAGGTAAAGCTTTCAATTCCTCTTTGACCAAAAATCCAAGTTCTCAAAAATCTGGCAGTTTAAAAAAGAAGCCATCTCAATCACTGCAAAATTTAACTCGTGTTGGTGCCACCCCAACTAGTGAGGATCTGATGAAAGAGGTGAAAAAAAGTCACCACAAAAAGAAAGAAAAGACAAATGTGTGTGATGTTTGTGGACGGGGATTTGCAGAAAAGTACACTCTGAACCGCCATATGTTAACCCACACTCACGTAAGACCGTATTCTTGTACCAAATGCAACATGTCTTTTTCCCGCTCGGATGGTCTGGCGAAACACATGACAACCCCGCACCGGCGAATTGATGCTCATCATTGCGATGTTTGTAGTGGGACTTTCAACAGCGAAGTCTCCTTCGAGCAGCATCGACGTGAATACGGCAACACCTTACCATTTGTTTGTAATCTCTGTATGCTGGCTTTCTCCCAGTGCTGTCACCTCAATTACCACATGAAGACCCACGCGCTCTCCAAGATGAATGACAGCTTGGCACATGAGGATTTAGACGACAAAAATAATGCTATTGATGTGTCCGAGCTTATTCCTGAAGATTTCAGCCCAACCAAAAAAGAAAGTGCCAAAAGTCCAGTTGGTCGACACTTTTTGAGTCCGCCGAAAATGACGATCGGTCATGCAGACAGAAAGAATGATAATTCTCTGGGGGTTCTTGACCCTAGTATTGTCGTAAAGCCGGAAGTGGAGGAGTATATTGCTTGTCAAGCTGGTAATCAGACATCTAGAAACAGTACGGATCAAAGTTTGAATTTAGTTCATTCGTCATTTAATTCACCAAATAATTTTTCTTCGATGGCGTCATCATCCAACACTTCTCAGGAAGGGAAATATAGTCAGGCAAGCCAACCTGGCAATCATTTGACACCAAGTAATGCTGTATCAGCGACTGAATATTTACCGGAAACAATCAGCCGGCTTAATTCCACCAGTCCTGGTGAAGCGGTTTCAATCTCTGACACTGATATGAAGAAATATATGGACATCAAAATACCAAATCCTCGGTTTCATGATAGTTCACTTCTTCAAGGAAGCAGTTTGAGTGAGGATGGCTTGTTCAGGTGTGAGATATGCGGGAAAGGCTTCACCAGAAAGTATCATATGCAGCGTCACGTCAAGCTGCACATTCGAGGCCCAGTGCCCAAAGCCCACTTGCTTGACTGGACGCGCCGGCCTTATGCCTGCGGCGTCTGTAAGATGGGCTTCACCCGGCAGCACCATCTGACGCGACACATGTTGATACACACAGGTGAACGACCTCATTCCTGTCACGAATGCGGGAAAGCTTTCCGCCGCTTCACCAACCTGACTTTGCATGTTCGGACGGTGCATGGGTCAGAGCGGCCATTTAAATGTCACATTTGTGGTCGTGGTTTTCCACGACTCTATAGCCTGCAACGACACCTTAAGCTTCACGCTAAGAGTAGCCCAGATTTAGCTCCGGACAGCGCTGATCTTTTGTATGAAGGGTTTAAACATGTCGGTGAGGTTCACTATAAAGATGGGAAATTCCCATATCCGGTTGATCTAAACAACACCCAGCGGTCGCCCAGTCAGGAGTCAATTTCTTCGGAACACACAGATGATAGTGACAGATTTGATCCCGAGTCTAGTGGACATGAAGATAGTATGGACCCCATCGACCCAGGCAGAAGTAGCAGTCCGGTCACAAACAGATATACCCTTTTACGAAATGACAGCGGCGAGGCAGGATTCCATTCGGATGGCGGGCGTCGTGGCCTTAGCAAGGATCAGGACGTGGGCTCAGATTCAAAGCAAACTGATGACTGGGTAGGTCTGCAGGTCAAGTTATCTCCAGACTCAAATGGTCAGTTCCAGAATAAAGTTTCCAAGTCTGATATGGGTAATGCACTTAGACAGAACTCCGTTCCAGCTTCCGATGAACTTAACCCATTAGCAGGGCCAGACAGTGAACCTTTGCGAAGGCAGGGTCAGTTGCCAGCAAAGCCTGTGTGTGACTACAACCGGCAGTCATCACTGCACAGCTCCATCGGGGAAAGGTTCGTCCCTGTTAAGACTATGTTAACTCCGAATGTGAGGACTCGTGATTTTTCTGGAGGTGGAAACTTCAATGATTTGGCCATTAGAGGCACAAGCAGCTTCTCCTTGAGCCAGAGATCTGATGATGATGATGATTTTAGTCTTAGACAACAGAGGATTCAAAGTCCGCATCCATCGTTGAACATAGAACGACCGGGAGGCCAAAGCACAGTAAATCAGGCAGGTGGGTCAGACACTGTTATTCATACGCAGTCCGGATATATCCACTCACCAACAGCACTGCTGCCTCAACGAGCCGGCATGGATCTCACTGACAGCCAGAACATAGAGATGCAGGAACCGGGAGTTTATTCCCATAGTCTTCACAACATAGATATGGGAAGTGGGAGGAGTGGGATTAAAGAGCCTAACATGTACTCCATTGGGCATATGCAGTTGCCTAGGATTATTGGTGGGATGTACCAACAACAGTTGACAGGTGGCCTTAACCACTCGGAGGTGCGTCCGGACCCCAGCACTAGTCCAAGGGCTGACAGCTCACGAGGCAACAACATGCAGTACTAGGCAACAACTGCAGGCCGCAGAAGGCAACAGTGTCACGCCGCCTGAGGCTGGATGTCAAGGCTGCTGCACGCTGATGAACATATTTTCAAGATGGTTTCAGCTCAGAGGCATGAACTCCGTAGCACTGGGGAAGATCTTTAAATGGATTTCCTAGGCTATTTTCGGACAACACTAAATATACATAATAAATTTTATTCGTCTGTATCATGCATATTTTGTGGCAGTTAGAAAACACAACACTGGCCATCACCATCTTGACCTAAAAGTGAATCTGCAACCTTGACAAGATTACACGAACTTCGTGTCAAAAGAGGTGTCGCCAGACATGAACACTATACAGGTAGTTAAAGAAGAGTAGCGAACCAACACACAGCTGGTGTTATTAGTCGCCACACGCTAAAGGAGATAATAAAGATGGGCCAGTTGCTTATGAACTTGTCTGGTGTGCGATGAAATGATCTATCCATTAACAAGGCAACAGTTGTAGGCCACACAAGACTTGTTTCTCAGAGGTTGTTGTAAAATTATATTGTAGTATATATGGGTAATTTTTAAGATACACCTTGAACAACCAGAAATTTGCGCTAAATTTTACAACTGGTGAATGGTTTGCTAAGAGCATTGCACAAAGCACGAACTCCATAGCTTCAATTATGTTCCCCGGGGATATTTGTAAAATTTGCATTCGTGACACGAACCCATAATCTTTAAAGCGCAAGGCAAATGGCTTGACGACTTTGCCGCAGAGACGCGCTCATGATAGAAAGAGCGTTGGTCTTGTCTGTTCCTGGCAGGTCACTTCCTCGTCACTATTTTGTATTTAAAAAATGTATGGTGCTTGTTTAAGAAAACGTCTTTGCTGCCAATACTACCATTTTTTAAAGGGCATTTCTTCTTCGTGGCAGTTTTTTTTTTTTTTAAATTCTCAGATCATTTGTAAGTTGTTTTCTGTTGAGTCTGCTGATGGGGGTCTTTTGTGAATGTTAACTGTTAGGACATGGGATTTTAAGCTTGAGAATTTAGGACTGCATAGCTAGAGCTGTACCTGAAACTGTGCAGGTTAGGATATTTATTTTTGCTCCCTTCAACCACAGAAAATATTACCATGAGAATGCGTGATTATCACTACTAGGCCAGCTGCTCCTTTTTAATTTTTAGCTAGGGCCAAACTTAAATTTCTAATTTTTAAACTAAGAACAGGGCACTGCAGACTGAATACAGGCTTGCACAGAATCAAGGCTGTACAATCCATCCAGTGTCACCGCCAAACCGCACTCGAAACACCTGAGCAAGACTTGCTGCTGATGTGTCGGTTTGTGGAGCGAACACAACGGATAACCTAAGCATCTAAGACCAATCGCAGAGAGAAGAAATTTAAATCTCTAGATTCCTGTGTGGTCCTATTATAGAGGAAACAAAAATAGACCCACTGCCTACCCAAACGCATGTCATAAGAGTAGATTAATAGGGAGCTTCCTTCGAAGTCAAAGTTCATCTGCCTGAGAGACAAGGAACCAGCAGTCTGCATACAAATGAGTCAGATCTGTAAAACAACGGATGCACAAGCAAAACTCAGGTTCTGGAACAGGACTGTAGTCCAGAAGTGGATGAACAACCAGAACTTTCCCCCAGAGTTTACAGCTGGTGTATGCGAAGAAGAAGAGGAAGAAATCTGAAGAAGCATTTCTTACCTGGAAAACTATTTGAAGATTGAGGTTTGTTGTACGTATGTTGTAACTTCAGTTTGTGATTCATTTATTCATTCATCACCCATATAGCAGTGCATTTATTGATGATTTATGTAATGAAGTTTGTGTGGATTTTTATCATGGTATGGGGCGTCACAGGCCGACCCAGTCTTAAATGGGTACCAGGATATATGTCCTGGGAAAGTAAAGACGGCCAGCGCAATGCTGACCACATTACCCACCTAGTGCCGATTGGTCTGTAAAAATATGGGTGCTCTCCCTTAATGCCTAATGCGCCTAAGGCATAAAAATTGATTTTTACTTTTATGTAATGAAGTTATTCGATGTGTTGGAGAACATGCCCATTGTACAATTTTTATCTTGTTTAAACCCTACTATTTTGACTGTCAGTTTTTTTTCTTTTGAATTCACCCATAACCCTTTCGCTTAGAAAAAGAGTTGGAAGCCCGTTGGAATTCCCTAGAAAAAATCCTTGGAAAAACAGCCATTTTACACCTGTCACTAAAATCTATGGACACTTTTAAATATTTTAGTCACTTAAAACATCATGGAAGTTTGGAGAACAATAATGGAGGGGTATATTTCTGAGAAGAGAGAAAGAGGACAGCCAAAGAGAATATGGGTGAATCAAGACTCGGAACATCTTGCTTGTGATCGAGAAGTTTTCTGGGTGGGTTGTTATGAGATCAAGGTTCTGCAAAGGACACGCTGCTGACTACTGACTGGCTGGAGACTTTAAATGTTTTTCGACTCACAATAGGCCAGGATATGAACAACAAAAAAATAAAAATAGCATTACAGGTGGTTTCCTTATGACCGTGAACCTTCATCACTGAGGCTTATGGGCTTACTTGGCATGTAAAAAATCTTTAGGGTTCTAAGGAAACCACCTGTAATGCTATTTTTAGTTACTTTGTTTATATCCTGGCCTAACAAACACTGCAAGCACACACAGAACCAGTGTAATTTGAATACGCTTTTTGAGAACAGATAGTGGAGCAAGGCCAATAAATTGGCGTTTACAACCCTGTCATGACCGGATGTGACCAGATTTAGTCTTCTCTGGGTAGTAGGGTTAAAAGAGCATTTAGTATGTTGTGTTCTGGTTTACTTTTAGGCTTCTGCATCTGCATCTTTCGGCCCAACACATCCGATACCATGAAGCCTTCAAGTAGTCGCTGCTTACAGCCTGTTTAAGGGGCTGTGAGTCATCCTATTCCCTGTCGAGATTGGGTCATAAAACTCACACAGAGATTGTTTGACTGTCGTTAAATTTATATAAACAGTTTGGGTAATTTAATGATTGTTACTCTTCTCTGTTAATCATTTGTGCGTTGGCATATGAAAATGAGCCAAAACAGTTTCAGTCAGTCTTTTTGAATCGCAGAAGGCTTTTGCATATATTTTCAAGAGACTCAATAACCACTATGAATGATTACATAAGTAATCAAGATGTATAACTTTTTTGTAAGTGCACAGTGACTAAAATCAGCAACACAGGAAGCCAGATTTCCCTAGCATTCTCTGACCAAATGTGAAAAGTGAAAGATCACCCTATGTGATTGTTGGGATTCACTGAAAATAGCCATCAACATATCATGCATTTCTTGAGAGCGTTAAATAGAAGAATCAGAACTCTGCCCCAGCAGCAAACTGGGGACGGGGCATGTATGGGAATTCCTAAATGATTTAATGTCCTTTTTTTCTTTTAAAAACTCAGTTCGGATTAAAGGAGAAAATTGAGGTTTTGAATTTTATTGTTACAAGGAAGGCTAACCTTGTGTACAATTGTCAGATGTGTCAGCCAAAAAGGTGGACATTTTGCAGCTGTTCTGTAAACAGTACAGGAAAGGATTCTTTTCCAAGCCTTCGATCATATAGGGCTAGTCCTATATTTTATAGCCCAGTCGGAACTCAGTGGGTGATGTGGTCAACATACCGCCTGCTACCTTTACTTGCCAGGGCTAACCAGGGACCCATTTAAGCCTGGGTCCACTTGGGGGCCAAGGTCATTACTAATTTTTTTCAAATCCACAGGTCTGCGTCTAGCCACAGTACAACAAAAGAAGAGGAAGAAAGATTACCGAGCAGTTTTTTCGAACACTATGGGTCAAGAAATAAAAAAAAACATTACTGACATTATTCTTCTGCTGCTGCATTTGCCCCTAAACGGGCAGTTGATATATATTGTGGTTTATCTAGACCAACAGCCTAACACTTCCGATTTAAGCTGATCTCTGGTTAGTCAACTTTTACGACATGCTTGTTTCTTTCATACGGCTGTGTATTCTCTCTGTAAAGTATGTTATGTTTATATAAAGACCCTTTTCCACACCTTTTGGGCATATAGAGCTAGACTTATATTTTATAAATCAGTTGTCACTTGGTGGGTAATGTGGTCAGCGACACACCGGCCACCTTTACTTCTTCGGACTGTACCTAATACCCACTGAAAAATGGGTCGGCCTTGTAGCCGAGGTCATTTTTTAAAAACAAAAGTACTGTTTCACCTGGAACCGAACCCATGACCGTCCGATCTAAGGGTGAGCATCTAACTGCTACACTATGGCAGCCCCCTTCCCCCATATTCATATAACAATATACATAATATGAATCATCACCGTCTTCAGGTAGTAGATTCTGTGCGGAACATCTTTTTTTTTTTCAGTCCACCGTGGTGCTTGATATGGCTAGAGTTTTACAGTTGCCAAGACAAGATGCTATTTACCAGCCAGTTTTTCTAGATGTTTATATCTTTAAGGGTATCGGTATGAAATACTTACATATTAAAAAAAGCATGGGTTATATATGTATACTGTTATATGTACATACATACATCAGAGGGCGACTCTTTGAAAAGTAAACTCGAAAACTTAGTAACAACTGGTAAATTTGAAGGAAAAACAGCTAGGAGAAGACACGACCAGAGGTCAGGTAACATAATTGCGACAGGAGTATCGGCTTATTTCAGGACTGTTGATCACCATCACAATTTGTCAAGGCTTGTGGTGATGATTCTTCTTCATCGCGGTCACTGGCAGTAAACTCTGGCCAAAAGTTCTTGTTGTTCGTCTACTTCTGTACTACAGTCTTTTCCCAAAACTTGAGCTTTTGTGTTCATATCCATTTAACAGATTCAGCTTTTTTTTTTTTTTGGTGTCTGCAAACTTGGTTCTTCACCTTTCAGGCAGATGCACTCCAGCAGTGACCGGAACCTCTCTAATTAGTCTGCTTTTACGACATGCGCGTTAAGGGGACAGTAGGTCTATTCTCTCCCCCCCCCCCCCACCCCCCCACCCCAAAAAAAATTGGGACAGCTGAACCTTCACAATGGAGTTTTTGAGTGAATCACTGACAGATGCCAGCAGATTCCAGCAATCATCCTATGGTACATACTTTTACCTGTGCCTCTGCCTGGACTGATATGTGTTGTATTTTTAGAAATGTTTCCACTTAGTTTTTGTACAGTCTGATAATCTTTTTGTTTTTTAAATCTGTATTTCCTGAATTAAAAGTCTGTAGCACTAGAGTTGTGAGGTCTTTCAGTCTTTGTATGTATAATTATTAAACATGTAAAGGACCCTTTTCCATGCCTTTCAGCCTATTGGGTATATAGGCATGGACCTATATCTTATAAACCAAACGGCACTTGGTGGGTGATGTGGTCAGCATCACGCCGACCACCTTTACTTCCCAGAACTGCACCTGGTACCCACTCAAGGCTGGATCAACCTGGAAACCAAGGTCATTTCTAAAAAAAAAAGAGTCTAGCCCCTGTCAGGAACTGAACCCGCGACCTTCCAATTTGCAGGCAAGCGTCTAGCTGCTTGACCACAGCGGCTCCATAATAATTAAACATTAGGCGAAAAATAACCAGATTGTGACCGGTACCATCAGTATTAAAACTCTGCGCTGGCTGCTGAGGGTGAGGATGGAGCACACATGGGAATGCCCCGAGTGCTGTGATGTCAATTATTGACTCAGCTCAAGGTGAAAAATACACACAGTGCAGTTTATCTTGCTTAAACTCCTATCTGGGTAAGAGGAATTTCTGATAATAAGAATAACCATTTCTGGAGTTCTGCTTGTCTGATCTGCACTGTTTTAAGTTATGGGTCATATTGACCCTACCGGTGTAGCTAACCTTCTTCTTTGTAGAGTTCAGCAGCTGTAAACTCCGGCAGAAAAATAATTTTTTTTTTAAATCAGAGAGGCCTCAAGGAGCTGAATCCTAATTGAAGAGCATAATAATAACACTACTGAATGGCAAATTAATATTCATTGCAGACCTGATAAGGAGAACTCATCAGGGACCCAAGAAATAGTTATTGTTATCAAAAGTTCCTCTTGTCCAGATAAGATTTCAAGCAAAAAGAATGGCGGAGGACAAACAAATTGCTCTTAATAAAAGAAATTCACCACATCCGAGAATTAACACGAAATGTAAAAACAAATGCTTTTGAAGAAAATTTATATATGTGGTTAAATGAAGACCGCTTAGACCTTTTGTAGGGGGGGGGGGGGGGGGGGGGTTGATCAAGGGACCTCAGTGTCTGGGTCCCAACTTCCCTGGTATAGGCCAGTTTGAGTGCTGGTGCTGCACCACTGCGTATGGTTGAGAACCTCTGAATCCCTAATGTTTGTGAATCTCCTTAGCTAGTTTGGGAAAGCAAGCAAAGGTGGCAGTTTACAAGGGGAAGAATATTAAATGTAATCTTTAAAAGAGAGTGCTACAATTTTACATAGAACCTGTTCTGCTGTATGGCAGCAAATCTAGGAATGTCCATGAACAAATTAAGCAGAATTTAGAAGCAACAGAGATGTGGTTTCTGAGATGAATGTTACGAATACTTTAGACAACCAGAGTAACTAACGACTGTTTGAAAGAAGCTAATGAAAGTAGATCTCTATTTACAACAATAAGAAGGTGATAAACTGTTTTTTTGGGGCCACTTAATGAGAATAGAGGCATTGGTAAACATTGTGACAACCGGAAAGATCAGTGGCAAGAGAGGTAGAGGCAGACAAAAAGAGCTGATGCTGGATGGGCTTAAAGAATGGCGTGGATGGATATCATTAAGAGAGCTGTTCCAGGAAACGAGGGACGTGATCTGTGGACATGCATGAGCACCTACGCCAGTTGGCAGGGTACATGATGATGATGATGATTCTTTCTTTGTCAGCTGAGGTGAGGAAGATAATTTTCAAGAGCCATGTACATCCAGAGATGTGGTTTATCGACGTACGATGAAGGAGCGGTTAAAACTACGGGCTTCCACTGGGAATATCTGGGTTCGACACCCAGTAAGGTGAAATCTGTCTTTGACAAAATTAACGTCCTAATCTGCACAGTCCATGGCGACAGCACTAGCTTTGCGGCCCTAAATCCTAAGGCTTACAACTCCATGCGCCACCCTTAAAAGTGGTACTTACAGGCGGTACTGCAATTTTTTTTTTCTTAGATGATAACATCCTGGACCTAAAAAAAAAGTAAAGAAAATGTCTCGAAAGAAACTTCTCACTAAGAGAACTGATGGCCCACATCAGAAGCAGACAATCTTCATTCTTGAGAAGAAGAAACCCGAAGTACATCGTGACGGTAGGACTGGTACCATCTAAACTAGAACTCTTCGCTTGCTGCTGAAGATGGGGACTGAGCACTTATGCGAGTGTCCCAAGTGCTGTGATGTCGATTCTAAATTCAACATTCAGGACAGTTGGAGGGGAAAAGAGGCAGAGGGAGGTCTAGAGATAATATGCTAGACAGTTTTATATAATGGCATGAGGGATCATCCATGTCAGAACTGATTGAAAGTACATGAGATAGAGGTGAATCAAGAATTGACGTCACAGCACTCAGGGCATTCCCATTCGTGCTTCATCCTCATCTTCGGCAGCCAGCGCAGAGTTCCAGTACTGGTCGTAATCTGGTTGTATGTCCGTCCGTCTTGCCTTTTCCCTGAGAGTGGTGAGCCGGCCAGACCCCTGGTTATACCCAGGTGTCTCATTCTCTCTAGACCATAATAATCTTATTTCCCTTCTGACTCGTTGCTTGTACCCAAAAGGCCCCTATCTGTCTAGTCAGGCCTTCTAGGCATTTCTCTCTTTGCCTTGTATGTGTCTCGGTGTTTTTTTGCATATTTGATGTGACTGTGTGAATATCTTCGTTTGTGGCTGTGTGTGTCCCCGTATGTGTTTGTCTTCATGTTTGCCTGTGTATGTTTATGTGTTTTGTCGGCGGGTGTGTCTATGAGGCTGTATGTATGTATCTCTGTGTGTGGGTGTCTGTATGTCTGTCTGCGTGAGTGTATGTATCAGCATGTGTCTGTCTGTCTGTGCATGTCTATGTGTGTATTGTGTGTGCCCCTTTGTTGTCTGTATATGTCTGCATGTCAGAGTATATGTCTGTGCGTGCTGAATATATGTGTCTGCGTGTGTATTTCTATGTGTTTGCATGTGTATGTACTTCTGCGTGTTTGTCTCTGTGGGTGTCAGTATGGGTTTGTCTGCCTGTATTTGAGTGTGTGTGTGTGTTTGACTGCGTGTGTCTATGTGGCTGTATGTATGTGTCTGCATGTTTGTCTGCGTATGTGTGTGCTGTGTGTGTCAGTGTGTGAGCACGAATGTAAATATGTGTGCTGTGTGTTTCCCTGTGTGTGTTTATATGTAAGTGTCTGTGTGTGTGTGTCTGTATTTTTGTCTGAGTGTGTGTGTCTCTGTGGGAGTGTCCGTGTGTGTGTCTCCATGCATGACTGTATTTATGACTGTATGTTTGTATGTGTGTATGCCTGTATTATGTATGTATGAATGAATGTATGCCTGTAAGTTTGTATGTATGTTTGTGTGTATGTATGCCTGTGTGTATGTATGTATGTTTGTATGTATGCCTGTATGTGTGTATGTATGCATGTATGTGTGTGTAAGTGAGTGGGTGAGCGTGTGTATGTGGGTGTATGTATGCACGCGCGGGTTTTTGCATGCACTTTGCAACTCATGCTTTTGTGTTCTTTTATAATATTCATAATATGCATATCGTCATATGATCATAACATGCTTTATTAGTAATATACAATTGCTGTGTGAAAGATGGTTGACTGGAAGGGCCGAATGTAAGACGGGTCTGCGTGCCCAATTTGTGACCCTTTGAAAATAAAGTTCGTTCGTTCGTTCCTCTTTCTCCTTTTCCAGCTTACTAGGGTTATAAAAAAGTGGGTGGGAGGGGGTAAATCCAGAGCTATCAAAACAGCATTAATGGGCCCCTGGGTAACCTAGTCTGCTGAGGCCCCTACGACAACAACCACTGATAGGAATGACAATTTTATTTATAGCAAGTCACTTGACATACACAGATCAACGTGGGGCTACTATGCTTGAGGGGTACCTGAGTAAACCAGTGGGTCTATTCTTCCATAAAATCTATAGATTTTGTGATTGCTAGATGTGCAGCTGGGCTCTCATGATGGTGACCAAGGTTCGAATGCTCAGTAAGTTAGTGAAGAGAAGTTCTTCTTCGTTCACCGGCTGTGAATTCCGGCGGAAGGTCCCGGTTAATCGTCCGCTTGGACTTTTGGCTTAAAAAAAAATCGTGTTTGAAAATTATTTCTCACGTTTGTTTTGTCTCACCGCAGGGGTTCCGGGTTATTCAATTCAAACGTCCAAGTACTTTTGAGAAAAAAAAAAAAAAGCTCGACCACGTTCAGACTGCTGCTAGCTAGCCTAGGCTACTAGCAGTCTCCGCCTATATTTGTGGTCTGGGTTATTTGCGTCACTTTCGTGATTGAATTTTAGTGTTTGTGCCATTTCTGGGCTTGATGCTTCCATCCGAATCAAACCGCTCGTCCTGTTGTCACTGGTGCATGTCTTCCTTCTTCTTTCTTTATGTTTCCTGTTTGTTCTGTCTCCCTTTGATATGGCTAGGCGTATCTCAAAGGAGAGCGAGCTTCCATACACAACGTCCTTTGGACCACCATTTATTGTTTTAAAATTTTGAGTATTTAAATTATGCCAAAAAGTACTGAAAACAGTTTTTGAATTTGAATAGTTCCGAAATGTGAAAATGTTCCGCTGTGATTCAATTCAAAACATTTGTGAAACATTTTATACAGCAGAGTCTATAAAAAACACGAAACACCCGGAAACACAACAAATGGCCGACGTGGGAAGTTGACGTCTGCCTACTTTCACTTTTAACGCCCAGAATCTACCACAGCTGGTACGAAATATTGCATCAGATCGTCCTTCGAACATGGAGTTCGGCGACAGCTCTCTGACGATCGCTATCAACGCTTGCATGTCGGCTGCAGCGTTTTTAATTTGTTTGAATATTATCCCGAAATTTTCTGATATGTTCATCAAGGCGAATTTGTATGGGATTGATCTGAACAAGCCAGTTCAGAACGAGAAGAAAAAAGTGTACGTACAAATTAATTATTACAATATATTCGCGGTTATTAGTTATCTACAACGGGTGCAATTTGTAAAAACCAGTGCAGCCGGGACAGATAGACTTTCACTCTTATTAGCAAAGCACTGACAGCAAAAATAATACGTGGAAGAAAGTGGTAGAGATTAGTTTAAGTTTTATAGACGATCATTTACCAGTACACCGAGGACAGATGAAAAGTAATGTCAATGAAGATGTCTTGAAAGAAATTAACACATGAAGAGAACTGTTTAGCCACACCAGAAGAAGGGACAGTAAAAACAAGAAACAAAGACATATATTGGTTGGCTCTCCTCCGAACTTCTACCCCAGCATTTATGGCGGCTAAACAAATATCCTAACAGGGCCTCAGTCCTATTAAAAATATGCAGACTTCCGGCGACGAACAAATCGCGGCAAAACTAGGATTACCTGACAATTTCAAGAGACGCAACACTGCAGACGTTAGTAGCAGACAATAATAGAGACCGTTGACACTTTAAAGCGTTTCTGCAGACGATACTAGCAACCGTTGACAATTTTGAGACATGCAACATTAAAGATGATAAAAGCGACATGGCGGGGAGACCATGCGCCCCGACGCAGATTAGCATCGTTGTTGTCCTCAAACTTTTCGGCATGCCCTAAACGCGGTTACACTAACTGCCGATACTATCCCCCACGCCGCTACGCGTGGCACGGATGGGAAGCTAAACTAGATGCCTGGGACTCATGAGCAAATAAATCGGAGGAAGTTGCAGGAGATGCGGTAGCTGCTGCTTGGGAGTCTCAGCCATCTAGTTTAGCCCCCATCCGCGCATAGCAACGCGGGGGCTACGGTCAGCGGTACGGCAAAGTCACAGAAACAGGTCCGTAATTAACATATCGCTGAGACCCAGTTAGAGCATTTGTTTCGTTATACGGAGCCGATCCTAGTTTTGCCGCTCGGCAGGCAGTCTGAGAAGTCCGCATTTTTCGAAGGACTGAGGACCTGTTAGGATATTTGTTTTTCTGCAACAATTTTCGTTGGTTTCGCCGCCGCTGGTGTGAGTCCATATGAGTCTAGTGGTGAAGTCGGGAGATGTTTGCAGGGCAGGAGGACCCAAAGTGCCTGCACTCTTAAATTCAAGTGCCTTCTTTGGCTGTCTGTCTAGAGTTAATGTCTGGCAACACCGCTTAAGACATAAAGTTCTTGTAGTCTTGTCAAGATTGCCAGTTTATCCATGTCTCCTAAATGTCCTAATACATCTTATCTTCACTTATGATCTCTGTAGCTTTTGATATTCCGCTGCTGTTATGAAAAAAAACACACACACGCACAACAACAATAGTCAATAAAGAAAGATAACTTCATTGGTACGATAAAAAAACCGAAAAGTTCCAGGAACTGATGCAGGAGAGTACATATTTGTTTTTAACATTATGTACTTAGATGCAGTAAAGCAAACCAAGTATTGGGACAGCTAGCCCCCCTCTTACAGCATAAGACAATCCCAGTCAGCACAAAGAGACATCTTATTCAAAGCATATTTATTCCAACTCTGTGCTACCAGTGCCAGACATGGTCACTCACAACAAACCATAAAAGAAAATTAGTAACCACGGAAATGAGATGTCTGAGAAGGGCTGTAGGAGTGACCATAAGAGATAAGATCAGAAATGAGATCATAAGAGAACAAGTCGGCACAGAACCAATTCTGGATTACATACAAAGACAGCAAGTAAAATGGTTTGCCCACTTAGAGAGAATGCCTTGTGACACCATACCATACAAAGCATACATGGGAAGAGAAGAAGGACGTAGAGCACGGGGTAGACCAAAAACAAGATGGGAGGATAACATCAGAGAAACTCTACAACAGCACGATGTGCCTATGGTCGAGGCAGCCAGAAGAGCTAGAAACAGAACCTTATATCTCCCTCGACACCCACAGCGGTAAAAGAGGAAGTGAAGAAGAAGAAGAAGAAGAACATTATGTACAGTAATTATACATTCTATCTATTGTCTTCTTTACTTTTACTGGGTTGTAGCCCAGTGTCGTGGTTTAAAATATTTGTTTTGAGCCTCTCGCGTGATTTGAGTGACAGTTTTCTGGATCTTCTGGCCGTGTTCAGCTACTCCATCTATCCATTTTTTCCTGGGTCTTCCTCTGGCCTTTCTTCCAGATGTTCTAATGTAAAAGGCCTTATAGGCAATCTGATCCAGTTGCATTCTTACTAAATGGCCAAACCAATTCATTCTCTAGTAATTATACATTGATAGACTGAATGTTTGTCTTTTATGTACAATTTTATTTTTAACCTATTTGAATGAAAATAGTGATGAAAAATATAAATTCAACTGACTACCAGTTTGATTCATGACCAGTTTGACTTACGACCTGTTAGTCGGCATCAAACTCTGTCGTCCCTGGGGGAGTTCCCTGGCCGTATTAAAGAGAAAACAAGAATAAACCCACTGCCTACCCAAAAGCATGTCGTAAGAGTGGACTAATTTGGAGCTTCCTTCAAAGCCGGAATGCATCTGCCTGAGAGGCAAGGAATCAACAGTCTGCATGTTCTGTTTTCAAAATGGCGGATAGCAGAGGTGTTTATTTTCGCTGGCTGTCAGTTCGCTCGGATTATTCTGTTTCATAATCATGGACTGCTATTTTGTGCACATTTCCAAGGCAGGATACTATGTTTTTTTCGTGGGAGCAGCGTATATTATGGTTGTGCTATGTCGGAGCGGGATAATTACCCATAGTTTTGGCAGCCTCGACCACGCTGCCTTCACAATGTTTTGATCACGGCGGTCCAACCAGGAAGACAGAATCTCGTTAGCAGGGGACTGCAGCTGTCTAGAGAACAAACTCGATAAAAGCTGTCCCCAGAAACGGAATGTGTCAACCATATATTTGGTGGGGAGGAATCGACACATACGGTTAACTCAGTGGCCAACAGTCTGCACACAGGTGAGTCAGATCTGTCAAACAGATGCGCACACAACACTCAGGTTCTGAAACAGGACTGCAGTCCAGAAGTGGACGAATAACCATAACTTTCCTTCGGAGTTTACAGCTAGTGAAGAAGAAGAAGAAACTGTCGTAAGTTGAGGATACCCTGTACTATTACTGCCTTTTGTTTTCTCTTCTTTAGCCCAGAAGCATTGGGTGTTGTGTGTGGTGCTGTGTTCCTGGCCACCATGTTTCTCTTCATGCCAATTCCATTTTACAAACAGCTGGCTGTAAACACTCCAGGCAAATTTCCCCATCATGAGGTAAGTTTGTTTTTCTTTACGTTTCCCTTGGTATTGAGCACAAAATGTTTTCCAGACTCAAATATGAGGTTTGAGATTTGAACAACGGATCAACATCATGACACACGGGTAGTAACCCATAAGTGCTCTGTTCGTTCTTCTTCTAACTCAAGTCTGAGTTTAAAAAAAGCTCAGCACAGGCTCTGTAGCACCGGTGAGGATCCTGAAATACTTTAGGTAAATTTCTAACTACAAATTTTGCCTAGGCAAAAGGATTTTTTACACGCTTAACAATGCACACGTGCGTCCGATCTCACTACCCAGAGACCAGGGGGAATTACTAGAACTCTAAGTCCATGTGAAAAAATCCAAGCTCTTACTAGGGATTGAACCGGGAACCTTTAGCAATGAGGTGGACACCATGCCTCAAGACCACACAGCCCACGATAATGGTTTACAAAAATTGTGACGTGTGGATTTCCCCTGTTTGAGGTAGGGTATTAATAAAACACCCTGACTTGTATGCTCTTGTTATCCGCAGTATATCCACTACCTGGCGGCACTGTTGTCCATTTGCTGCATGGTGTTTCTGGGATTTGCTGATGATGTTCTGGACCTGCGGTGGCGCCACAAGCTGCTGCTTCCAACCCTGGCTTCCTTACCTCTGCTCACTGTTTATTTCATCAACATCAACTCTACAACTGTTATCATGCCGAAACAACTGCGCTGGCTCGTTGGTTTCGACTTAAACCTAGGTATAGAACTAAAGACAGTATGTTGTTAATTGTGTATCCTGTACATAAACTTGGGTATATTACTAAAGATGGTATGTTGTTGGTTGTGTATCCTTTACATAAACTTGGGTATAGTACTAAAAATTTCCTCCGAAGTCGGAGTACATCTGCCGGAGAGGCGGGGAATGAGAACTGCGAACAAATAAGCCAGTAAAACGGATGTACACGCAAAACTCAGGTCAAGGTAAAAGCCAAAAGTCCATTTTGGACGAACAACCGCGACTTACAGCCGGTGAACAAGAAGAAGAAGAAGAAAGAAGTACTAAAAATATTATGTTGTTAATTGTGTATCCTGTACATACACTTAGGTGTAGTACTAGAGACAGTAAGTTGTTAATTGTGTATCCTGTACATACACCTAGGTGTAGTACTAGAGACAGTAAGTTGTTAATTGTGTATCCTGTACATACACCTAGGTGTAGTACTAGAGACAGTAAGTTGTTAATTGTGTATCCTGTACATACACCTAGGTGTAGTACTAGAGACAGTAAGTTGTTAATTGTGTATCCTGTACATACACCTAGGTGTAGTACTAGAGACAGTAAGTTGTTTATCAACAGTGTTAAAGGCATAAAGTATGACACTTAATTCCAGCAAAAGACTGGTTGCAGAACCAACCCTAACAGTCCCTGGCTGTTGTGTGGTTTCTCTAGGCAAATTACGTCCAGTAGTTTGCCATTGCTTTCTGGACGGTCGGCTTTCTTGATACCACTGTCGAAACCAACGTAAGGCGCATTGCCCGCAGCTGGGATCGAACCCGGCATCCCGGCATTACGAAGCGAAGTGTTCGCATCGACTTAGCCACAGAGCCGACAAAAGACTGGTACAAAGCTTTTTAGAGTGATACTCCATTATCATCATCAGTATAACCAGTTCAAGCCTAGTCCTGACTTGATGTCAAGTTCTAATATGATTCTGTCTAGTTCTTATGTGATGATGTCTGGTTCTAACTCGATGAATGATTGGTTCTAACTTAATGATGTATGGTTATAAATTGATGATGTCTGGTTCTAACTTGATGTCTGGTTCTAGCTTGATGATGTCTGGTTCTAGCTTGAGGATGTCTTGTTCTAGCTTGATGATGTCTGGTTCTCGCTTGATGATGTCTGTTTCTAGCTTGATGATGTCTGGTTCTAGCTTGATGATGTCTGGTTCTAGCTTGGTGATGTCTGGTTCTAACGATGATGTCTGGTTCTAACTTGATGATGTCTGGTTCTAGCTTGATGTCTGGTTCTAGCTTGATAATGTCTGGTTCTAGCTTGATGATGTCTGGTTCTAGCTTGATGTTGTCTAATTCTAACTTGATGTTGTCTGGTTCTAGCTTAATGTCTGGTTCTAGCTTGATGATGTCTGGTTCTAGCTTGATGATGTCTGGTTCTAGCTTGATGATGTCTGGTTCTAGCTTGAGGATGTCTTGTTCTAGCTTGATGATGTCTGGTTCTAGCTTGATGATGTCTGGTTCTAGCTTGGTGATGTCTGGTTCTAACGATGATGTCTGGTTCTAGCTTGATGTCTGGTTCTAGCTTGATGATGTCTGGTTCTAGCTTGATGATGTCTGGTTCTAGCTTGATGTTGTCTGGTTCTAGCTTGATGATGTCTGGTTCTAGCTTGATGATGTCTGGTTCTAGCTTGAAGATGTCTGGTTCTAGCTTGAAGATGTCTGGTTCTAGCTTGATGATGTCTGGTTCTAGCTTGATAATGTCTGGTTCTAGCTTGATGATATCTGGTTCTAACTTGATGTTGTCTAATTCTAACTTGATGTTGTCTGGTTCAAACTTGATGTCTGGTTCTAGCTTGATAATGTCTGGTTCTAACTTGATGTTGTCTAATTCTAACTTGATGTTGTCTGGTTCAAACTTGATGTCTGGTTCTAACTTAATGATGTCTGGTTCTAACTTGATGTCTAGTTGCAACTTAAATAATTTCACTAAATGGATAGGCTTTAAAAAAATGCAAACATCCAGTTTGTTGCATCTAACTGACAGCAACTGTGATCCTTCAACACGCTGTTTTATGAGATAATCAAGTAACAGAAAGTGTATTGATCGGCGCTCATAGAAAGAAGTAGAAAGATAGAAGAACACACTAGACAACATAAAAATCGAAAGCTATAGTTACCGTGCCGGGAATTGTACCTGTCACCTCCAGACTAGGGGGTGCCTAGTTGACCATGTTCTTAGTGCACTTGTATTCATGGCGAGGCGCAGACGCCATCTGGAGGTGACAGGTTCAATTCCCGGCACGGTAACTATAGCTTTCGATTTTTATGTTGTCTAGTGTGTTCTTCTATCTTTCTACTTCTTTCTATGAGTGCCGATCAATACACTTTCTGTTACTTGATTAATTCATAATATTTAACGGCCTCAAAGGTTCCCCCCTCTGTTTATTTATAGGAATGTTTTATGAGAGTGTGAGAGCTAGGATGATGAGTTGTGACTTCTTGATGAGAGTGTGGTGTCTGCTGTGTTTCAGAACCAGTTTGTTGCATCTAACTGACAGCAACTGGTGATCCTTTGACACATTGTTTTATGAGAGTGTGAAAGCGATGTTAAGTTCTGATTTCTTGATGAGGGTGTGGTGTTTTCTGTATTTCAGGACCACTCTACTATCTGTACATGGGGATGTTGGCTGTCTTCTGCACCAATGCTATCAACATTCACTCCGGAGTCAACGGTCTAGAAGTTGGACAGTCGTGTGTCATCAGTCTTTCTGTTCTTATCTTCAACTTCATTGAGATGCAAGGTAAATCTTTGTTAGCACTAGAAGACATTATGATTAACCTCTCACGGGAACAGTTAGTAGAAGTACCTTGGAGTGGCTGCTGCATCAGAGGACTGAGCACACATGGGAATGCCCAATGTGCCGTGATATCAATTGTGATAACATAACATAACATACTGAAGATGGGATTCAAGCACTTATAGACTTTTCTGATGTGGATGATTGCTCAGTTAACTAACAAGGCAACAAAATATGTCGGGTAAACAAGGCTTATTTCATTGAAACTGTTGTAAATTATTGTCACATGATGTGTATCTCCCTTGCCTTCTATAGGGTTTCCACTAATATTCAAATACATTCAGAAGTGACTTAATGTTAGATGGCGGCTTGTATTAGTCTAGTAGGTACTCCATAGTTGAGTTGAATTGTGTCAAGAATTTACCTGAGGGATTTCCATACTTGCTCTGTCCCCATCTTCAGCGCAGAGTTCCAATAGTAATGGTGCCAGTCAAACTCTGGCTGTATGTCCGGCTTGTCTTTCCTCTATAACTAACATTCTATGACTTTTTTTTAAAAAACTCTTTATGTTTTTGCAAGTCTTTTGTATTTGCCTTTAAAAGGTCAGTTGGAAGGTTGTACTAAGGTTCATGGTGGGACTGTGATATTTGCTGCACTTTTTGGCCAGACATTTCCAGTTTAAAGACCCTTTGTGCAACAAAACTTGGCATTTGATACTAAAGAATCTAGTTTGAAAATGGAGATAAAGGCCTTCTCCTGGCTTGAGAACCAGTTGACCATCATGCTGTGATTATAATAGATTTGCAAAGTATATGGAGTAAGCAAAAGGTATTCTTCGTGCAGAGTGGCAAGCATTGCATCAGAGATTCCAAGTAGTCATCTCCTTTAGGATATTTTGTCAAGAAAATTTAGGTGTGTTGGGAAATAAGCAGACAGACTGGCTGGCTCTTCACCGTGTGGTGGTAAATTGATGGATGACAAGTTAGATGTGGTTAAGGACCTTTTGAAGTGAATGAACTGTGGAGAAGCACAAATTGATAATTGTGGTCTGGAGAGAATGGTGCAACAGGGAGTGTCCAAAGGTTCTGGCCAACATTCAGCATACAGTCAAACTGTTGCTGCTGCTACCATCGGAATTGGAGCTCTTTGCTAGCTGCTGAAGATGGGGAAGTCTTGGGTGCTACAATAAGAAAAGAAAAAAGTAAAGCTCCCTTTCCACGGTTATGTTTTTATAGACCAATCAGCACAAGATCATGCCGGTTGCCTTTACTTCCTGGGTCTGCCCCTGGTACCCACTCAAGGCTGGGTCGACCTAGGAGTTACGGTGAGTGCTACAATGTTAGCTATTTACTGAACTCAACAGCATCTTGGATAGGATAATACAAGAGACAGTAGAATGGACAAGACGAATGAGTCTTTCTAGAGTGCCTTGCCTGAACAGTTAGTTTCTTTGAAGTCGGGGTCTGCCTGAGAGGCAACAGTGTGCACACATCTAAGCCAGATCTGTGACAGGGATATGCGTGCAAAATTTAAGTCCTGGAACAGGATCAAAGTCCAGAAGTGTATGAACATCCAGGACTTTCTGCTGGAGTTTACAGCCACTGAAAATGAAGAAAAAGAAGAAGATATGAGTGACATTTTGCAAAGAACCTGCTACGTGATAAGGAGTTTATTCTATGTTTTTCAACCTACAAGGTGATATCTCATCTCCCAGTCCTTAAGAAAGAGAATAGGGGCTTTTCAGTTGAAATGCTGTAGAAAGATTCTAATAATATCTTGGGCAAAGAAGAGGAGAAATACTGACATCTTGAAAGATCTGAACATCAAGGAAGATTGGCTGATAAACAGCATCCTGCCTCGAAAGCTGAAATATTTTGGTCATCATATCAAGTGCCACGAGGGATTGGAAAAAATAATAGCAGAAGGCATTGTACTAGGAAGGAGAGGCAGGGGCCGACCGACACGAAAATGGGCACAGGATATAAGTGACTCTTTGAGTATGAAAGTACGTGAGGCTGGAGAGCTTGCGAGCGACCAAGTTTCTTTCAGGCAGACCGTGATGAGAGCGACGTTCTGTAAAGGACCTGCTACATGATGATGATGATAATGATGGTGATATCAACTCCACGAAAGTATAATATACATTTGAATGTAAGTATTAAATCCGTTAGATTTCTTTGTTATGCATTTTGTTCTTCTGTCTGTCACCAGGTGAGCAAAGGATGGGACATGTTTTCTCCGTCTACTTCATGATGCCATTTCTGGCGGTCAGTTTGGCTCTTCTCATACACAACTGGTTAGTCATTTCTCACGTGCATATTTAAAGTGTGCTTGAGAGAGAGAGAGAGAGATAGGTCTTCATGTAGAAGTAATCAGACTTCTCATGTATAACTGGGCAATGCTTTATATTATGGAGTACATCACAACAGTAGAAAGGTGAAGGGAAGACGAAACAGAGGAAAACCAAAAGAAAAGATGCTGAACAGTTTGTCTTCAAGGTTATTATGATCATCTGTGTCAGTATTGATTGAAAGTATACGAAACAGCATGTTAAGAAATAAAGATACACAGGATCAACATCAAGGTACGAGGGTAGCAACCCATAAATGCTCTGTTCTACTTCTAACCCAAGCCTGAGTCTGAAGAATCTCAGCACAGTGCATGAACTCCGTAGCACTGGCGAGGATCCTGAAATACTTTAAGTAGATTTGTTTAACACCTAATTTTGTCCAGGCAGCGCCGTTAGGCTACTCTTTTCAATTTTCAACTGCCAAGAGATTTTTTATGTGCTTAACAATACACGCGGGCGTCCGATCTTACTACCCAGAGACCAGGGGAAATTACTAGATGTCCATGTGAAAAAAATCCCAGCCTTCACCGGGACTTAAACCTGGGACCTCCAGCACTTGAGGCGGACACCATGCCTTGAGACACCTCAGCCCCTGGGTTGTTATGGATAGACATGACCACCAGCACCAGTTGCATGGACAATGAAAAGAAATAAAAAAAAATGTGACAGTGTGTATGGGCGTTGATGTTTAAGAGAGAGAGAGAGAGAGAGAGAGAAACAGGTGTGTGTATGTATATATATGGAGACAGACAGAAAAGGAGGAAGATATATGTATGTATATGGAGAGAGAGAGTCAGTTGTGTCTGTGTATAGATAAATAGATAGGGGAGCCGCCATGATAGAGCAGCTAGATGCCCAAAGATCGTGGGTTGAAATCTGCATTGAGTGGATTTTGTTGTTGTTAAATTGATTCCCAGGTTGACCCAGCCCTAACGGGTACTAGGAAAGTTCAGGGAAGTAAAAGACAGCTGGTATAATGTTGACCGATTCCCAGGTTGACCCAGCCTTAATGGGTACTAGGAAAGTTCTGGGAAGTAAAAGACAGCTGGTATAATGTTGACAGATTCCCAGGTTGACCCAGCCTTAATGGGTACTAGGAAAGTTCAGGGAAGTAAAAGACAGCTGGTATAATGTTGACCGATTCCCAGGTTGACCCAGCCTTAATGGGTACTAGGAAAGTTCAGGGAAGTAAAAGACAGCTGGTATAATGTTGACCACATCACCCACAAGTGCTGATTGGTCTGTGAAGCATAGTTCTAGCACTGTATGCCCAATATGCCTAAGGGTGTGGAGAGGGGTCATTTATATATAGGAGAAATGCCATTGTATTGAAAACAAATTTCACTGCATGTCCTGCACTTCTGAAAAGCAGGTATTTGCACCTCTGGAGTTGATGCTTGTAATGACGATTGTATCTGTTTAATTTTTCTATATTTGGAAATATATAAAAAGTAAGTAAAAGACCCTTTTTCCACCCCTGGTCAGTCTACACAAGGTTGAAAGAGATAGGAAAAAGAACCTGATTATTTCACAGAGGTGGTTAGAAAAACACTATTGATTGGTTAAAACATCAGAGTATTGTAGAGAGGGTAAAAAATATGATGTTTGGTAGAAAAAGTATGTTGCAAAGAATTACAAAAAGACTCAGGATGTCAGAGTTAGAAAAATCTGCAGTTTGCCAAAGGCAGAAGAAAAATGTACGTCTGAAAAAAAAGTTAAAAAAATAATGATTGATGTTTCTTGTTTGATTGCAACAGCACTTTTCTTACATGTCTCTTCCATCTACCCATTTTTTGAAAGGTACCCCTCCAGGGTGTTTGTTGGGGACACCTACTGCTATTTCTCTGGCATGACCTTTGCGGTTGTGGGAATCCTGTCCCACTTCAGCAAGACCATGTTGCTGTTCTTCATCCCACAAGTCATCAATTTCATCTACTCTGTCCCGCAGTTGTTCCATTTTATCCCGTGTCCCAGGCATCGGCTACCTAGGTGAGTCGTATGTTTTACTTCTTCTTCTTCCTCATCCTCTTCTTCTTCGTCTTCATCCTGTTCATCTTCTGCTTTCTTCTCTTCTTCTTCTTCTTCTTCTTCTTCTTCTTCTTCTTCTTCTTCTTCTTCTTCTTCTTCTTCTTCTTCTACTTTTTCTTCTCCTTCTTGTTTTTTCTTTTTATCTTCTTCCTTCTCCTTTTTCTCCTTCTGCTGCTGCTTTTTCATTTTGTCTCCCTCCTCCTCTTTCTACCTCCCTCGCCCATTTCATCATCATCTTTGTCCTTCTCATCTTCTTACACCTGTTCTTATTCTCCCACTTCTGTGTGTTGCTCTTTTGATTGCATTGTAAAAGTTGGTCCTAATTTCTCTAAGTTATTCTTGATGCAGTAATTACTACTTTTCTGTGGTCTTTTCCTGCCTTTGTTTCCATTATATTTCTTTGATGTGGCTCTCTGTACCAAGTTAGTACCAAGCCATTCTAATCATTTGGCCTCTTCTCAAAACGAACGAACAAACAAACTTTATTTTCAGAGGGTTAAGAATTGGGCACGCAGGCCCATCTACCATTCTGCCCTTCTAGTCTCCCTCACTTCTTGCATGATTTCATTCATACATCAAGAAAAAAAGAAGAACGAGGACAAGATGAAGAATAAGAATATAATGAAGAACAGAGGCAAGAATAAAAGAGAAGAAGATGAAGCAGTGACAGCAGTACTGTCCATAGCTTCATGGGATGTTTTATTTTGAGTGTAGCACCCAATCAGCCTTCGCTGACTCATTAATCAGGAAAATACAAGAAGAAGAAGAAGCGGAAGAGACAGATGCTGCGTCAGCAGAAGCAGTATAGTGACAGTTTAAATCTACTGTATAATATCTAGTGTTTAGTGGATGCAGTGATATTTCACATGAGAAACAAGGAGTTAAATTGTAAGAAAACGGAAATTATGGTCATCACCAAGATGAAAGAAATACCAGAGTGTGAAATACAAGCAGAAAGAAATACCAGAGTGTGAAATACAAGCAGTAAGAAATACCAGAATGTGAAATACAAGCAGAAAGAAAAACCAAAGTGTGAAATACAAGCAGAAAGAAATACCAGAGTGTGAAATACAAGCAGAAAGAAATACCAGAGTGTGAAACACAAGCAGGAAGAAATACCAAAGTGTGAAATACAAGCAGAAAGAAATACCAGAGTGTGAAATACAAGCAGAAAGAAATACCAGAGTGTGAAATACAAGCAGAAAGAAATACCAGAGTGTAAAATACAAGCCGAAAGAAATACCAGAGTGTGAAATACAAGCTGAAAGAAATACCAGAATGTGAAATACAAGCAGAAAGAAAAACCAAAGTTTGAAATACAAGCAGAAAGAAATACCAAAGTGGGAAATACAAGCAGGAAGAAATACCAGAGTGTGAAACACAAGCAGGAAGAAATACCAGAGTGTGAAATACAAGCAGAAAGAAATACCAGAGTGTGAAATACAAGCAGAAAGAAATTCCAGAGTGTGAAATACAAGCAGAAAGAAATACCAAAGTGTGAAATACAAGCAGAAAGAAATACCAGATTGTAAAATACAAGCAGAAAGAAATACCAGATTGTAAAATACAAGCAGAAAGAAATACTAGATTGTAAAATACAAGCAGAAAGAAATACCAGAGTGTGAAATACAAGCAGAAAGAAATACCAGAGTGTGAAATACAAGCAATCAGCAAATTTCTTAAGCAAGTTAATTGATACAACTATTTAGAAACAATCATAACATCTTATACAAGATGCCTTGCATAAATCAGAAAAAGAATCACCATGGCAACAATTTGCCTTTAGTAAGATGCAAAAGATTCTCACCAACAAGAAGGTGTTAATTACAGTGAGGAAAAGAGTGTTAAAGTGCAATGTAGAACCTGTGTTGTTATATGCATGTGAAACATGGACAATAAGTATACAATCTGGAAAACTTTTGCTCGCAGCTGAGATGTGGTTTCTGAGAAGAATGCAAAGAGTATAATGGAAAGATAGGAAAACAAATGAAGCGGGCTTCATCGAGACAGTTGAAAGTCATAAACTAATTAGACATAGTCAATGTTTTTTGGACCCATTGTGAGAAGAAATTGACGCGAGGATTTAGTAACAGTAGAAGACGGATTGAAGGAGTCACGGACAACTTGAGACTTCATAACATCACGGCATATGAAGCGACTGAGCGCAGCCTGGCTCGGTTGCCGATCATCTGATAGACTGCGACGCCTAGCGGCACAAGCAGATTTTGACAAAAGAAGAAGAAGAAGAAGATTTAGTAACAACTGGGAAGATTGATGAAAAGAGAGCAAGAGGAAGGCAAAGAAATAAATACCTGGATGGTTTGGCCAAACGGATGTGGCGAGACGAAAACATGGAATTAATCCTGGATTTTGGTGATCGTGTGAGGTGGCGAAACTTGGCAGCCTATGCTTACCAGAATAGCACATGACGATAATGAGAAGCAAAAGCAGAGGAAGAGGAGAGAGATACAAAAGTGACAACAGGAATGCCCATGTCTCTGCCTGGGGATTAATGTTCAGGGAAGCAATTTTTCTACTCCCACAGACTGAAGGTCAAGTCCTGAAAGAAGAAAGAAAGAATCAGTGAGAGATAGACACAGCAAAAGCAGTAGCGGATGAAGATGGCATGACAGCAGTAGTGTCTGTATCTTCATCTGGTGATTATTGTTAAGCTTAACAGATAAGGAGAAGAAAGATAAGAAGAAGAAAGATAAAAACAACATAGATAAGAAAAAGAAGCAGTAGAGACAAAGGCTGAGGCAGTAGAATCAGAGAAGGAGCAGGAGAAGAAATGACAGAGAAAGAAAATGAAGTGACTGCAGTGATGATTAACAGATTTAAAATAACGACTGTTCTGAATAAAATTTCAGAAAAAAAAAATAAGAAAGAAGAAGAACAAGTAATAGAGCTGAGTTGAATTGAGTTAGGAATTGACATCACAGCATTGGGGAATTCCCATGCATGCTCTGTCCTCATCTTCAACAGCCAGTGCAGAGTTCCAATACTTATGGTACTGGTCACCATCTAATTATATGTCCGTCTTGCCTTTCCTCTGAGTGTAGTGAGCCGGCCAGACCCTCTGGTTACACCCAGGTGCCTCATTCTCTCCAGGCCATAATAATCTTGTTTCTCTACTGATTCATTTGCTCGTTCCCAAAGGGCCTTTACCACATCAGCCTTGTCATGTATCAGTTCCCCACCCAATCTGTCTGCCTGTTCATTACCCATCATGCGGGCATGGCCTGGAGAAAAAAAAAGTGATAGAGACAGAGGCTGATGGAAAAAAATCAATAAAAAAATCAGGCAAGGGAAGCAGTAGCCACAGAATAAGATACAGAGAAGGAGGAAGATGAAGAAGAAGAGATGATAATAATGATTAATATTTTTAATGTGACGACTATTCTGTCTCAACAGGCTAAATGTGGAGTCAGGAAAACTGGACATCAGCTGCACCACATACAAGACCGGCAGTCTGTCTCCCATTGGCCAATTGTGCATTCGTGTCTTTTCTTTATTTCGTCTCATCACAGTGCGGGCAGGAGTTGGAGAAAATGGCATGTACACACAGGTAAGGTACCAGTGGTACCTAGGTAGACTATCATTTACACTTGATTATGATACCATTTACACTCAGGTGAGATACCAGTGGCACCCAGGTAAACTATCATCTACACTTGATTATGCTATTATTTACACTCAGGTAAAATATAATTTATGCTCAGGCAAAGAATCGTTTATACTTGGGGAGATCCTGTGTGGGTCCCAGGGCACTATTTTTGTATTTAAAAAAAAGTACTTTCTTATTAGTCGACCACAAACATTGAAAATCCACAGGTCACGGGACAGTCAAATATTTCAGGGAGTGATAGATTTTGTATAGTTTTGGTTAGGCTTAGGGTTAGGTAAACGTGTGAAAACCTTTGCCTTGAAAACAGAAAACGCAGAAAACCCGCTCTTACCACCCTCTTAAATATTGGATTGTCCTGCGACATCATTTGTGGTCGGCTAAAAATAAAGCACCCCAAAAAAAAATGAATGGACCCTCTGCCTCCCGAACCGGGCAGCTATTTAGGGAGTTACCTTTGAAGTCAGAGTGCATGAGGCTGAGAGGTGAGAAACCAGCAGTCTGCATACATATAAGCCAGATTTAAAACAAAGGCACGCAGAAATCAAGTTCTCTTACCCCTTTTCTTCTCTTCCCTACAATTTCCGACCCTTTTTAAAATCTATTTTAATTGGGACTAGCGGATTCCCAAAATGTCTCATTTGTTGCTCAATAGTGAATAGACAAAAATTAGACAATTTTGGGAACAGATGTCTTAGATGAATACTGAATCACCACTGGACAGGTTTCAGATCCAATACTCAAATAGGACAAGAGACCAAGCAAGAAAATGTATCAGATTTTGTAAGAAAGCGCCGCTGGAACTACATCGGCCATGCACTCAGAATGGATAAGACAAGACTCCCCCATCAAGACTCCCCCATCAAGATTCCCCCCATCAAGACTCCCCCCATCAAGACTCCCCCATCAAGACTCTCCCATCAAGACTCCCCCCATCAAGACTCCCCCCATCAAGACTCCCCCATCAAGCCCTCACTGGACGGGAAAAGAAAGCGGGGAAGACCAAGAGACACTCTGCATAGAACCATCGTCAGGGAAGGCTCAACCATGGGCCTTACGAATGTCCAAGACCTAAATCAGGTGGCAACGAACCGCCAGATATGGAGAGCTGTGACCTCTGCCCTATACGCCGCATTAGGCTCAAGAGGAGAGAGTAACTAATGAAAAGTGTGACCTGTTTTGTGTCGTCTTCTTTTTTTTTTTCCATTTTGTTTAACGCTGTAATTTACAGTTAGAGTTGTGAGGATTGACTTCATTGCAGTGGGTTTGTTCCCGCCTGGCTCAGTCTCTGTCTTTCTCTCTCTCTCTCTCTTGCTCTCTCTCTCTCCCCCTCTCTCTCTCTATCTCCCTCTCTTTTTTCTCTCTCTTTCGGTCTCTCTCTCTCTCTCTTTTCTCTCTCTCTCGCTCTCTCTCTCTCTATCTCCCTCTCTCTCTCGCTCTCTCTCTCTCCCTCTCTCTATCTCCCTCTCTCTCTCTCTTTTCTCTCTCTCTCTCGGTCTCTCTCTCTCTCTCTCTCTCGCTCTCTCTCTCTATCTCCTTCTCTCTCTCGCTCTCTCTCTCCCTCTCTCTCTCTCTCTCTCTCGCTCTCTCTCTCTCTTTTTTTCTTTCTCTCTCGCTCTCTCTCTCGCGCTCTCTCTCTCTCGCTCTTTCTCTCACTCTCTCTCTCTCTCACTCTCTCTCTCTCTCTCTCGCTCTCTCTCTCTCTCTCTCACTCTCGCTCTCTCTCTCTCTCTCTCTCTCTCTCTCTCTCTCTCTCTCTCTCTCCGCAGAATGGCTAGCCACCTACTAGGAGCATTACACAAAGCATGAACATGGTAGCTCTGGTGGCGCTGCCCAGTGGTGTCAGTAAAAAGTGAACTCGTGAATTAAATGACGCAGCCGTAAAATGTCAGAGCGCGAGGCGAATGGCTTGACTACTTCCCCACAAAGACCCCATGGAAATATTTGCCATATATTTACTCTTCTTTGCTGAACCATTTTCAGGTCAACAACATGATGCCAGATAACTTTTTTGTGTGTCTGCAAGGCCATTCTTGTCAGATGGCCACAGCATTTTGTATCTTGCTCTTTGATGGATTGGTTCCCGTTTTTGGAAAAACAAGAATAGACGCACTGCCTCCCCAACAAGCATGTCTTATGATTCAACTGTTTTGGGGCTACTTTAGAAGTTGAAGCGCATCTGCCTGAGAGGCGAGAAACCAACAGTCTGCATACAAATAAGTCAGATTGGTTAAATAGACCTGCATGCAACACTCAGTTTCTGGAACAAGATAACAATCCAGAGGTGGATAAACAACCAGAAATTTCAGCCAGAGTTTAGAACCGGTGAACATGCATAGGAAGAGGTTTGAGGTTTTGAACAAGGGATCAACCATCATAGCACACGGGTAGTAACCCATAAGTGCTCCGTTCTTCTTCTAACTCAAGTCTGAGTTCGAAGAAGCTCAGCACCGTGCACAGGCTCTGTAGCACCGGCGAGGATCTTGAAATGCTTTGGGTAGATTTTTAACTCCGAATTTTGCCCAGGCAGCGCCGTTAGGTTAATCTTTTCGATTCCCAACTGCCAAGGGATTTTTTTACATGCGCAACACGGGCATCCAAACTCACTACCCAGAGACCAGGGGGAATTACTAGAAGTCCAAGTCCTCGTGGAAAAAATCCCAGCCTTTACTGGGCATTGAACCCGGAACCTCTAGCACTTAAAGCGGACACCATGCCTTGAGACCACGCAACTGGAAGACTGTATAAGAAGAAGAAAATCAAAGTCTCCTCTTTATTCAGTTTATTTTCAGCCACTCAGGTTAAAGATATGAATCATTTACCTTACTGGTTTTTTCTTGTTCTTTTTTTTTTTTGGTTGAAATTCTTTTCAGGTGAATAACTTGACACTAAACAACTTTATTCTGAGACTGTTTGGGCCCCTCCACGAGAGGACACTAGTTCTTATATTGCTGTTTATACAGGTTTGTTTGCTTCATTTATGTTCTCAAGATTTTTTTTTTGGCATCATGTATTAAAAGTAAAAGAAAGTATGATCTTCTTCATGTCATTCAAATTATGGGTAGTTTATGTTTGGTTGTTTGATTGATGTCTTGCTTGGTTCATTGGTAATGTATATGGTTGGTTAATTACCTGGTGGATCGGATGGCTGATTTAGGATTGATTAATTAACTGACTGGTTGACTAGTTAATTGGATGGCTGGTTGTGAATCAACTGGAAGACTGAAATAATTTTACCTAAGCCCCAGTGTTCAGGTTTTCTATGCCCCAGGGTTCAGGTTTCCTATGCCCCAGTATTCTGGTTTCCTATGCCCCAGGGTTCAGGTTTCCTATGCCCAAGTGTTCAGGTTTCCTATGCCCCAGGGTTCAGGTTTCCTATGCCCCAGGGTTCAGGTTTCCTATGCCCCAGTGTTCAGGTTTCCTATACCCCAGGGTTCAGGTTTCCTATGCCCCAGGGTTCAGGTTTCCTATGCCCCAGGGTTCAGGTTTCCTATGCCCCAGTATTCTGGTTTCCTATGCCCCAGTATTCAGGTTTCCTATGCCCCAGTATTCAGGTTTCCTATGCCCCAGTATTCAGGTTTCCTATGCCCCAGTGTTCAGGTTTCCTATGCCCCAGTATTCAGGTTTCCTATGCCCCAGTGTTCAGGTTTCCTATGCCCCAAGGTTCAGGTTTCCTATGCCCCAGTATTCTGGTTTCCTATGCCCCAGTATTCAGGTTTCCTATGCCCCAGTATTCAGGTTTCCTATGCCCCAGTATTCAGGTTTCCTATGCCCCAGTGTTCAGGTTTCCTATGCCCCAGTGTTCAGGTTTCCTATACCCCAGGGTTCAGGTTTCCTATGCCCCAGGGTTCAGGTTTCCTATGCCCCAGGGTTCAGGTTTCCTATGCCCCAGTATTCTGGTTTCCTTTGCCCCAGTATTCAGGTTTCCTATGCCCCAGTATTCAGGTTTCCTATGCCCCAGTATTCAGGTTTCCTATGCCCCAGTATTCAGGTTTCCTATGCCCCAGTGTTCAGGTTGCCTATGCCCCAGTGTTCAGGTTGCCTATGCCCCAGTGTTCAGGTTGCCTATGCCCCAGTTTTCAGGCTTCCTATGCCCCAGTGTTCAGGTTTCCTATGCCCCAGTATTCAGGTTTCCTATGCCCCAGTATTCAGGTTTCCTATGCCCCAGTATTCAGGTTTCCTATGCCCCAGTATTCAGGTTTCCTATGCCCCAGTATTCAGGCTTCCTATGCCCCAGTGTTCAGGTTGCCTATGCCCCAGTGTTCAGGTTGCCTATGCCCCAGTGTTCAGGTTTCCTATGCCCCAGTTTTCAGGCTTCCTATGCCCAAGTGTTCAGGTTTCCTATGCCCCAGTATTCAGGTTTCCTATGCCCCAGTATTCAGGTTTCCTATGCCCCAGTATTCAGGTTTCCTATGCCCCAGTATTCAGGTTGCCTATGCCCCAGTGTTCAGGTTTCCTATGCCCCAGTGTTCAGGTTTCCTATGCCCAAGTGTTCAGGTTTCCTATGCCCCAGTGTTCAGGTTTCCTATGCCCCAGTATTCAGGTTTCCTATGCCCCGGTGTTCAGGTTTCCTATGCCCCAGTATTCGGGTTGTCTACGCCCAGTGTTCAGGTCGACTACACCCAGTGTTCAGGTTGTCTTTGCGCAGTGTCAGAGACCTAGTTCACTGTCCTGACTCGCTGTATAGGCCTGTGACAGTCTACTTACCTCTAAACACACCAAGCCGAAACACTTACTGAGCACACACACAAATCTTTAATGTACAGAAACAGAATACAGCTATGTTTTTGTTTTGACTCAAAATTGTATGCAAAATTGTGACATATTTTTCTAAATGTCTACAGATTGTCTGCAGCTGTCTGGCTTTCTCAATACGATATCAACTTGCGAAAATGTTCTATGAAAGCTAGTGGATGCTGTTTGATTGGCTGTATGGAAAGAGCTAATGGATGCTGTTTGATCGGCTGTATGTGAAGAGCTAATGGATGCTGTTTGATCGGCTGTATGGGAAGGCTAGTGGATGCTGTGTGATCAGCTGTATCTGAAGTAATCAGAGTGCAGAGTATATTCCATGATAACGAATTTGTTCTTTGCTTCACTTATGATAGATTTATGTTATATAATATGATGTATTGAAAATTGTATGGAGTCTCTAGAGATATGGATAAACAGAAGAATAGGCAGGTATTTTTTTTCTGGCAGTATGATAAGAACACAGTACCGACACCTTTTTTTTCTCAAGGCATAATTTGTTTTCCAGCACAACTGTAATAAATACTTCATAGTGTGTACCAACATCGTTTTATTCTTAGAAAAAACATGTTTAGAAAATAGGTCATATTTCATGGACACAACAAAAAGTCAAATACAAAGGTTCTAAAGAAACTAGAAAGGAAAGAGAAGTTGCGAAAGAGAAAAAGACTAATAAAATATGTTAGCCAAAATAAAAAACATAACACTGTTATAAAAACTGTTAAAGCTAGCTGCGTATCCTTTGCAGGATATTGCAGAACCTACCCCTATATTGGTTTGGCTGTTCATGATTTTGCCAGGCAACACTATGTTCGGTTGTTTGTCATTGCTTTAGTTTTGGTTGTTCGTGATTTTACTAGGCAACACTATGTTCGGTTGTTTGTCATTGCTTTCTGGACGTTTAGTTCTGGATACCATTATCGAAATCAACAGAAGGCACTTTGCTGCTGAGTTGCCTGCAGCTGGAATTAAACCAGGTATCTTGACATTATAAACTGCATTCACAAGGCCTTAGCCACAAACGCTCTTAAAAACCACACTGAAGAGAAAGATCGAAAGCAAGAGACAGACAGTGATACAAATGGAAAGAAAGCATCAAGAGATGAATAAATAGCATCGTGAAAGCATGTTTATCTAAGGCAGGACTGTTACAGCTGGTGATTCACGGACCGAATCTGTCACACAGCAGCCTAGTAAATGGCATATCATTCACCTGCCAGTTGTACTGTAGTAATGGTTTTTCTGTGCTGGGGCTCAGGTTGTGATGATAACCCCATTTTCAACATTTTGACACCTGAGTAAACTTAGTATCAGTGCCAAACATGGACACTTACATCCTCCAGTGAACGTAAAATTGTGACAACAGAGATGAAATGCCTTAGAAAAGCTGCGGGAGTTTCAAGGAAAGACAGAATATAAAATCACGAAATCAGACGAATGCTAGGATTAAAAGCCAGTCTTAGAAGTCATCAAAGAACAACAAATGAAGTGGTTTGGACACCTAACAAGAATGCCCTGGTACCATCTGCCACAGCAAGCCACACTAAAACGTTACAACGGCTATAGAGCGAGTGGAAGACCTTAGAAAATATGGAGTAATGGCATTAAGAACAACAGCCTTACAAAAATGATCATCTTTTTGTGTGTGCGATTGACGCTTTTATTCCCAGAAGATTTTGCATAAGATGCTTAAAAAAGGACAATAACCATAGTGAAAAAGCAGGCCTTTTTACTGTCAGAGAGGCAGCATTTAGAATGCTGCTTATTCAAATACCTTGCCAGATTTTGTTATTATGCTCAGGCCAGATGCAAGTGAAATCATAACACACCATGCATTGCTTGATATGTGCTGGCAATTGTGGCTCACACATTGTGCACTGAATGAGATAATATGTTATTCTATACGTATATATTTCATGGTATCTGTGCACTGATTGGGGCAGATGGAGATAATGAAATGTTATGCTATATGTATATATTTCATGGTATCACAATGCTCTGTTCTCATTTGTGTGGAAACAAAAAATTATAATTGCTCCAGATTGTCTAATGATGTCCCACAACAGTAACTGTGCCTCATCTTATGCTAAGTTCCCAGGTGACTATTCCTATAGCTTGGCTTTCAGAACAATTGTTCAAGAGTCACACCATGGAAGAGACTGTAGCCTCACCACTTAGTATTTTCAGTGCTGGATACACATATCCACTCCAGCTGACTTCCATTGTGTAGACAAGCACACTCACCCACGTGCGCACATGTACCTGCATGCATGCATGCAGAGAGAGAGAGAGAGAGAGAGAAACACTGTCCCTCGGACAGTTCATGTGTGTCATGTTAATTCTCTGGGTTAGGAAAATTAACCCTGTCGCCTGCCCTGAGAGTACTAACTGTTTCAGTGCCAGATAGTTTTGAATTCAGCCTATGTCTGTGCTTAAGTTTTTGTATCTTGAGCAACAAGTTTTAGTATCATAGCTAGTTAGATGCGTATCCTTAACAGGACATTGCAGAACCAACTCCAACATTTGTGTGTGTGTGTGTGTGGCTGTTGTAGTTTTCTAGGCTAATTTCACATTTGGTTTCATAGAGCTGATATATACAGCTTTGTGATAGAAAATGTTAAGGTAACAAATGAAATGAAGGGATTAACATCACAGAAGAATGGGGTAGAAGAAGTAAAGAAATATCAGCCTTACAAAGAGTAACAAATGAGCGCGAGTTGAGCTCGTTGACAATGAGAGAGCTAAATCTAGTCACTTTTTGTTGTGACACATTTCCATAGATGCCAATATATTACCATGTTTGCAGAGACCAGTTCTTGAGACGTGTAGTTACATTTCATTTGTTAAAGGGTTTTTGGGGGGGGGGGGGGGGGGGGGGGGGGGATTCCTACAGGTGTGTGACTTTGTTTTTAGAATAGATATCTGCTTCACACAAGAATGAATGTATACTTGTAGATAATTATGTAGAGAATTGTGGTCGCACATGCTAGTTGTCAACACTCTTGGTTATATACATCTTTCTGAGAGTGTATGATACGGAAGAAGAAGTGATTCTCTTACAGTAAAGTGCTTCCATTGTACTTGTTCAAATTTTTAGTGCGATTTGAAATTTGCAGCCTTTAGCTGTGTTGTAGAGCATAAGTTTGCTCTAGGGGGTAATATGTGATATTTATATGTTGATCTGATTGTAGAGGTGTATGTAGAATGTTACGTAGTGGTAATATATGTATACACACATATACATAGACCACACACAAATATATTTTCTTCTTTCTTCTACTCCTGGAATGTCTCGCGGCGTCAGGGCAGGAAAAGATCTCTGTAACGGGCCCTTCTGTTCGCTTCGTATTGTAAGATCTCTTTATTTTTTACGAGCACTTTAATAAGCCACTGTCAGTTTGCTGGACCAGTCACAGTGTTTTCACATTTCCTAGAATGTCACATTCGATCTAGACTATCACATTCAAACTAGTTTAACACTATTTCAACCCTAGGATGTCCGAACTGACCCCGATTTGATGCTGACCGAAAATAAACATCCCCTAGCCTCGCCGTCTTGATCGGAAATCAATATATCAGGTAGATGGGCATACAGATTGTTTTAGTCTTGGCAAGCTGTTTGTTTCTGGCCACGGTTATCTTTCCAGATTTTCTCATATGTGTGCAGAAATTATATAGTTTTGTCACCCAGCTACTGAGTTTTCTCTTAAGTTATATGTCACACTTATATGTTGATTTGGTTGTAGAGGTGTATGTAGAATGTTACGTCATCATTTTATATTTATCTGTGTTTGTATATATGTGGCAGATAGGCAGGCCGATTGTTTTAGTCTCAGCAACTTTGTTGTTTCTAGCCACTGTTATCTTTGCCATTTTCCTCATTTGTGGATGGATATTATACAGTTCCCTAACCCAGCTACCGAGCTGAGTGCATGGTCTGGCATTATAAGCTGCAGATATTTTATTTGGAATGTTTTTCAACTGCCCAACATGGTTTGGTTGTCACGTGCTGATGCAGAAAATGACATTTTGTGTTGCCACAGACATGGCATTATGTGACAGTGCAGGGGCAACTGCTGATTTGTCCGACTAACTGACTTTCTACCCCACCAAGACATCACACAAGCGATAAACACCCAATTACACAAAGTGGGGATCACCGTGGAGAGGTCCCAGAAACCGTGTTCAGCCTTCAGGCCATATTTATGGCCGGGCTATATTGCGGCCCCTGGCAAGAGCCAGAGTAGGGCTTCCAATAAGGAAAAATTTCATCCTAAAAAGGACGGGAAGTATTACTCTCTTTTTAGGCGCTGCTGATTTGTTGTAACCGGCTGCTTTTATTGACGGTGAACTGTAATTTTAGTGGTAGAAATTTGTTTCCGGCACTTTTATGCCTGCTTCATGCACATCTGCTGTTGGCTTTGCAAAGACTGCGAACTGGGACAGTTTAAAAAAAAAAAAAAAGACAACAGCAGTGTTGCCACTTTGGATGTTTTACATCCAGATTTAGATGTTTTTCCTTGCATTTAGATGGCGTTTTTGACGTTTAGATGGTAGATGTTTTTTATTTTGAGTGAATTTATCAAATCTAACTAAGAAACAGGATGCTATCTTGACAATAAAATTTTGCCTGATAAGAGTAGGAAAAGGCTGTTCCACTTATCAGCTCCCTGATTAGGTATTAAAAGAAACTGGAACAGCTAAAGCATACCAAGGTCATTTTGGATCTGAAGCTTCAACTTCATCATCCAAGCTCAGTTTATCCTGTGGATCTTGTGAGGCAGACATCAGTAAAGATGAGGACATGATTCTGTAGGGTAAGTCATATCAATTGCTATGTAATGTGTGACTCTTTCCATTTGGATGTTTTTTCTAGGCGTTTTCCACGCAAATTTGGATGTTTTAGTTTTTAGATATTTTTTTACTCCGTTTTGGATGTTTTTTGTCAAAGAAAAGTGGCAACACTGGACAACAGCCATAGGTATCTATGGTGTTTTTGTTGTTGTTGTTGTTGCAATAACGGAGCACCAAGGAACAACAGATCAGGTAGTTTGGACATTATGTCAAGACTAGACCAGATAGTGCTCCACAGAGATCCCTGTCACTGAAATCACTACCATTGACTGCCGTCATGAGGGCTAAGAGACTGTTACTTTGG